CACATAGTGCACGCCCACATACTGCACGCTCAGTGTACGCTCACATACTGCACGCCCACATACTGCACGCTCAGTGTACGCTCACATAGTGTACACTCAGAGTGCAGGCCCACATAGTACACGCTCACATAGTGCACGCTCACAGTGCACGCTCACATAGTGCATGCTCACATAGTGCACACTCACAGTGTACGCTCACATACTGTACGCTCACATACTGCACGCTCACATACTGCACGCTCACATAGTGTACACCCACATAGCGCACGCTCACATTTGCCTTGCCTCCACGCCACCACCTTCCACCTTACCCTCTTAGCCTCTATCTACGGGAGGTACGCCCCTCACCCCCAGAGAGCAGGGTCCCACTGACAGCCATGGCCCCAAGGGACCTGCTTGAAACAGGCTGTCATGAGCCCCCACAGCCACCCTGCGTGACACCGCCCTCACAGGCCCAGGGAAGGCTGCATCTTGAGCTCCCCGCCCTAGACAGAGACACATCAGGCCTGGAGCAGCTCCCCAATCCCTCCACCCGCCCAGGCCTCCCCAGCTCCCTGGTCCCCGACGCCCCTGCTCGCTGCCCCCGCCCGGGCGCACCTTGAGGTCGTCGGCCGCGTCCTGCAGCGGCCGCACGCGGTGCGCCCAGTGCTCCCCCGAGCGCTCGCAGGCCGCGCACAGCAGGCGCAGCTCGTCCCCGCAGAAGGCGGCCAGGGGCTCGCGGTGCGCGGGACACACGCCCTGCGGGACGGGCGACGGCGGGTGCAGGCGCCGCGCCATCTCGGCCATCTTGGCGAGCGGGCGGTTGGGCCGCAGGTTCCTCTGCGGGGACAGCTCGCGGCACTCGGGGCACGCGTACGGGCCCTCGGGCTGGCCCCAGCAGCGCCGGATGCACTCGCGGCAGAAGTTGTGACCGCAGTCGGTCATCACCGGGTCAGTGAAGTAGTCGAGGCAGATGGCGCAGGTGGCCTCCTCCTGGAGGTTAGTGGACAGGTCCGGGGCGGCCATGGCGCGGGCCGAGCGGAGGAACGCGGTACTGTCCGCGGGGCGGCGGCGGGGAGACGCGGGAGGTCGCAGGGACGCGGGGGATCCGGCCGCGGTGGCGCCGGCGCGGGCACTCCGGGGCGGGGCTCAGACTCGCGGGCGCTCGGGCTCCGAAGCGCGGGGACTCCGGGGCGCAGGATACTGGGCTTGGGAAGCGCTGGGCGCGGAGGCTCCGGGCGCTCGGGGGACGCGGGACGTAGGGCCCCCGGACGCCGGCAGGAAGAGGAGCGGGAGCCGAGGCGGAAGCAGGAAGCGACTGGGTGGTTTTTTTTTTTTTTTTTTTTTTTTTTTTTTTTTTGGAAGAACGCGCTTTTGCCTGCGATTGGCCGCTGCCCGTCACGCGACCCGCGGGCGGGACGGAATTGGAGAGCATTCACTCACTGACCCGGCGTCCCCGCCGCTCCAGTTGGTGTGGCGTAGTCTTTACCCTGGCCCTCGGGAGGAATGAAGCACACGGGAGGGATGGGGGCAGGGACGGATGAGGGCAGGGGGCGGGGCGCAGGGGAGGGATGGGGGCAGGGGGCGGGGCGCAGGGGAGGGAGGGGGAAGAGGGCGGGGCGCAGGGGGGGGGGCGTAGGGTGCGGGCGCAGGGGAGGATGGGGGCAGAGGGGGGGACGCAGGGGAGGGAGGGGAACAGGGCGGGGCGCAGGGGAGGGAGGGGGCGGGCGAGGAGGAAGGATGGGAAGCGGGGGGACGCAGGGGAGGGATGAGGGCTGGGGACGGGACGCAGGGTAGGCATGGGGGAAGAGGGTGGGGCGCAGGGGAGGGCGGGGGCGCACGGAATGGGTTACCGGGGAGAGGTGGGGCAGGGGCGAGGCTCGGAGGGATGGGCAGAGCGCCGGGCACACGGTAGCAACTGCAGGGACTCAGGGAACCCGCAGCCTGGGGCAGTGGAGCCTCTCGGCCTACCCCGCGTGCGTCCCAGGGCGGGCATCCTCGGGAAGGCCCGGCCCACAGCCTCCGCAGGTCAAGGTCAGAATCACCGGAGTTGGGGGATGGGACCGGACTGACCCTCCAGGCCCAGGTCTGCAAGAGGCGCACATTCTCTCTGCGACCACCACTCCGAAGGGGCGCGTTGTTCCCGGCAGTCCGTGGCGCAGACTCCGGAATTCTGCCGCGCTGGTGACTGACTCGGGCTGTTAAAGTGCTTGAGGCTGCAGGGGTGGGTGGGGGTCCTTGGAAAAGGGAAGGGCGCTGTGGAAAGGAGGCCCCTAGATAAAACCTAACCTCTTTGGGATTTTGCATCTGCTCGTGCAACTTTGGGGGTCGAACGGGATGGGGGTGGGCAGCTCCGAGGCTTTTTAGGGGTTCGGCCTTTCGCATTTTCCCCCTTCGAGGGACCCAATAGGATGCATGGGACATTTCCGCGGGCAGCCTGGGACTACCCCTGGCAGAGCAACTAACCACCACCACCCCCCACACAATAGGATGCGTAGGGTATTTCTGCTTCTTTGACCGAGTAACCTAAACCGCTGGGGGGGGTGGGGGCGGGAGCCACGGATTCGTGTCATTCCAAAGTGAGGGTGGGGGCACGGCTAAAGAAAACCACGTGTTCCTGCTGTGCAGGTATGGATTTAGAAGTCAGTCCACTCAGAATGAGGGGGCTTTCGAGTTTCCTCTAGGAAGCATCTGGCAATACAGCCTCTTAATGTTTGACGGTTTTAATCATGGTTATAGACTTTGAGAACCCCCCTGCGTGGCTAATGGCTGCCAGCGTGATGCCAGAGAACCCTGGCAGGTGGCCTGCAGTGAGCAGAAGGCCCCCACCTTCTGCAGAGCCGGGGGCAGTGCCAGAGTCCCCCGGCCTGGTATCTATTCCTTCACCCACATGGTCACTGTGGAGATGACCATCTGACCAGACTTCGGCGCCCCCAGGCAGAAGAAAGGCTGCAGGGGGCCCGGGAAGGCGGCCTGGGAGTAGGTGTGCAGGTGGGACCCATCGCTCACACTGTAGAACGACACCTCCCCAGCCTCGAAGTCCAGGAAGATGCCCATGTGGCTGGGAGGCTCCGTCAGCATGACAGGGGTGGGGGTGGGGGTGGACATGGCAGGCAAGTACTTGGTCCCCTTGGACAGCTGCACCACCCAGAAGCCATTTTCGGGGCACTTGGTGACCCTGTCTTTCCGGCTCACGTTGTCTCTGCACACACCCAGGGCCCACAGCGCGTCCCCAGTGATGTTCATGCCCACCTCCCAGTAGTGCCTCCCGGAGGAGAAGGTGGCCTGGCCCACAACACAGGGGTAAGCCACGAATCTGTCTTTGCTGCAGAAGCCGCTTTCCTCTGGCGGAGAGCCCAGGTAGCACCTCTGGCGGCCCTCGTACAGGAGGAGGTAGGGGTATGCAGAGGTGGGGTCCGGCACCACCTCCTCTGTAGATGGGCATAGCCGCAGAGAGATCAGGGTCAAAGGTGGGAGCGCCCGGGCCCTAGCGGTGCATGTGGCCAAATGGTCCCCTAACTCCCTAGAGGTCTTTCCTGCCATGAATCTGGGGTTACCTGATGCTCCCACACCCAAAATGTGTGTGGATATTGGGGGCGATGAGGAACCAGGGCCCAGATGGGGGCGTCACTCAAGCTTCATCCCAGAATTAAAATCCCCAGTATTGCTGCTCTTTGAGGACACAGTGACTAACCCATGACCGTCAACAGGCAGTGCACTCGCAGACCCCCCATTGGTGGCTTCCAAGGCTAGGGGGTACAGTGGGGTGTTGCCAAGAGATCCTGGGTCAGGGGTCCTGGCCCTGGGTGCCCACTTACCTAGGAAGCCTCTGAGCACTTCGATCTGTCCGGGAACCCTGCATAAAGTCCTGGGTCCGGTGGGGAGGGCGACCTCTGGGCACTGCACACTCACACTGTTCTTCCTCCAGTGGGCACAGTCTTACTGTCCCCCTGCCCCACCGTCTCATTGTCCCCCCACCTCCCCACCACTGCCGCCGCCCCCACCTGCGGGGACCACATACCTGCTCAGGGGTTCCTTCATGTCCTGCAAAAGACAAGGATGGAGGCGGGGAGTGGGCCAAGCTCCCGGCTCACCTCGGTGTCCCCGCCCCCTTCTTGTCCATGTCTTAGGGCAAGACCCATCCTGTCCCCTGGGCATTCCTTCCTACAGATGACCTCACAGCACTCCTGAGCTGTCCCCACTGCCTCGGCTCCCACTCCCACCAGAGCCCCCAGTGCCTCAGCGAAGCTGAGCTACACTGTCAGCCCACGGTCAGACACCTGAGGTCCTTCGGCTCAGCAGAGGCAGAGGGAGCCCTTCTGGGCAAGTGGCCACTCAACACTGACCCTTCAGTCCCATTTCAGGTGGGTGCAGCCCACCCAGCAGGAATGGGGTGGGGGTGCAGTTTGGGAAGGGAGGGGGGCGGGTAACAGACTGAGCCACCTGGGGATTTTCTGTAGCCTCTTTAGGGATTCAGAATTCCCTGAAGAGATCACTGTTCACTTCTCTGGCCTGGAAGCTACAAGGGACTTCTGTTCTCCAAAGGCCACTTTTCTAGAGTCTAGGGAGGGACCCTAGCTCTTGGCAGGGACTCCCATGCAGGTGGTGTGGGCAGCCCCCCGCTCCCATGAGCACCCTTCTCCCAGCTGCTGGGGCTCCTCCCCTCAGTGGGGCTGCAAACGAACGCAGTGGGTTGTGAACAGGCAGCTTTGCTTTCCTTTTTGTGAGATGTGATCTCACCATCGCCCCCGCTGGAGTGCAGTGGCCAAATAGCTCACTGTGGCCGTGAGCCCACAGGCTTGAGATCTTCCTGCCTCAGCCTCCTGAGTCCTGGGAGTACAGGCACACGCATGCCCTGCTTGTATTTGTAAATTTTGATAGAGATGGGTTTTGTCAGCCATAATCAAGTCTCCTCTCCAAGGCCATGGCAGGCTGGCCTGGTCACCTCCCCGCTGCCATTGCAATCAGGTGCTGCCACGAGACTCACTCCTGGGACAGTGTGCCTCCCACACACCGAGACACGGAGTCCCTGTCCCAAAGCTGCACCTGGCTGCAAGGTGTTCCAGGCCACCTCTCTGGACTTGGAAGGAAATGGGGACACTGTCTCAGGTTGGAACCTGTTAGGGGCTGACTTGTGTCCCCACAAATTCACAGGCTGAAGCCCGAACCCGCAGGACCTCAGAATGTGACTGTGTTTGGTGATAGTTTCTTTAAGGAGCAGGTTAAGGTTGAAGTTAATCCAGTCTAACTGGCATCGTCATGGACAGGGTGACGCTGTGAGGACACGGCGTCTTCAGGCCCAGGAGAGAGGTTCAGGAGGGACCAGCCCTGCCCACCTTGGCATCAGCCACCCAGCCTCCGGGACTAGGAGCTAACAGCCTTTCCCTGTCTGCTGCCTCTTCCCCAAGTCCAGTGCCTCCTGCCCATGCCTGTCCAAGCTCACGTCCCACCCCAGTTGCGAAGCCCACCAGCTCACCTGCAGCATCTGGAGGGGCCCCTGTGCACTCCGCTCCTCCAGCTGCAGGAGCAGCAGCTCCAGGGAATGGCCCTGCCGGTCCAGGCAGGCTACGGTGTCCTGGAGCCTGCTGGTGGTCTCCTCCTCCTCCCTCTCTAGAGCCCGGAGGAGCCTCTGCTCTTCCTCTGCCAGGTAGAGGTTCATCTTCTCAAACTCCAGCAGAATGCGTTCTCTCCGCTCCTTCACCTTGCCCTGCAGGAGTGGAGAAGCCCAGCGGGTCACCAGCAGATGGCTTGGCCCCAGGAATGCTGGCACCTGTCCCCAGGGCCCCGGCGACCCACAGATCACCAGCGACTGGAGCTTTAGTTGGGGACCAGGAACTGTGACAGAGACCCCCACCCCCAGTACCCTGTCACTGAGTGTAACCCTCTGAGCCCCAAACTGCAACTTCCACACATCCAAACACACATGCACCCTTGCTCTGAGGAGGTTCAGAATGTCCACCCCGAAATAAGCCTCTTGGGCATGTTAAACAACATTTATGGATGGTTATTGTTTTTTTGTTTTGTTTTGAGACAGGGTCTCGCTCTGTAATCCCAGTGCTTTGGGAGGCTGATGTGGGAAGACGGTTTGAGCTCATGAGCTCGAGGGCAGCCTGAGCAACATAGCAAGACCCTGTGTTTCTACAAAAAAAAAAAAATTAGCCGGTCGTGGTAGCAAATGCCTGTAGTCCCAGCTACTCAGGAGGTTGAGGCAGGAGGATTGCTTGAGTCCAGGAGTTTGAGGCTGCAGTGAGCTATGATCACATCACTGCACTCCAGCCTGGGCCACAGAGCAAGAAGACTCAAGACTCAAGAAAGAAACAAAAAATAACAAAATTAGGGTGAACTAAAGGCCATTGAGAACCCGCAGAAGCAGGAAAACCTGTTTGCCTCTCCCATTAGCTGCCTTAAAAAAATAAAGTGCCTGGCCGGGGGCAGGGGCTCACACCAGTCATCCCAGCACTTTGGGAGGCCAAGGCAGGGAGATCCCCTGAGGTCAGGAGTTCAAGACCAGCCTGACCAACAATAGTGAAACCCCATCTCTACTAAAAATACAAAAGTTAGCTGGGTATGGTGGTGGGCGCCTGTAGTCCCAGCTGCTTGGGAGGCTAAGGCAGAGAATTGCTTGAATCCAGGAGGCTGAGGTTGCAGTGAGCTGAGATCACACTATTGCACTCCAGCCTGGGCAACAAAAGTGAAACTCCATCTCAAATTTAAAAAAAAAAATTAGAAGAATAAAAATAAAGTGCTCTTTCATGAAGGAAATTTCCAGTGGTGAAGGAATCTATGCCAGGAAGAACATTCCAAAAACAACTCTTTTCACCTGACGCACTTGCCTGCATACTTAACCAACGTCACCTGCCTCCCCAGCCCAGAGGCCCCAAGCCCTATTCCTTTGTGGGGCCAACCTACACCCCCCGCCTCTGGCCGCCACCTTTGTGGTACTGAGCCTTCACCCACTGCCTGCCTCTTTGAGTCTCATTTTTGAGGTCCCTTCTCTCTAGCCTATGAGTGCATCTGTAATTTAAAATTGCCTTTTTTTTTTTTCTTTTTGGGACGGAGTCTCACTCTGTCACCCAGGCTGGAGTGCAGTGATGCAATCTCAGCTCACTGCAACCTCTGCCTCCCGGGTTCAAGTGATTCTCCTGCCTCAGCCTCCTGAGTAGCTGGGACTACAGGCTCGAGCCACCATGCCCGGCTAATTTTTTGCATTTTTAGTAGAGACGGGGGTTCACCGTGTTAGCCAGGATGGTCTTGATCTCCTGACCTCGTGATCCGCCTGCCTTGGCCTCCCAAAGTGCTGGGATTACAAGTGTGGGCCACTGCACCCGGCTAAAATTGCCTTTTAATCTTTTTCTCTGCTGTTCATCTGTCTTAAGTCAGTTTCATTCAGGGCCCAGCCATGGAACCTAGAAGGGTAGAGAAAACTTTTTTCTTCCCCTGCCGCTGAGGCAGCATATCCCCATGGACAGACACAGACGTGTAAATGCAGGAAGATGGAGCAGCAGCAGAAAAGGGACCGGACGGCCCCAGGCACCCACCTGCCACTTGGCTAAACTCTGCTCCTCCCTGGCCTGCAGCTTCCCCGTCCTGGTGATCTCCTCCCGCAGGTACTCCATGTTCTCCTCCAGCTTCAACTGCAGGACACAAACCGCAGGATTTGGGGTCAGCAATCCCACCACCTCCCGCCCAGAGTCCAACTGTGCTGATTGAAACTGCACCCCCGCTAAAGACCCTCCTCAGGAGGGGCAGGGCATCAAAATACATCACCCAGAATGTGCTGCCTTGGATTATTTTGAGCTAAAGGCACTTAATAAAGGGCAGGTGCAAGAATCGCTCTGACCCTCAGCCTTCCTAAGAGCCAGAGGCACAGCCAACCGTGCCAGAGAGGCCTGCCCTAGGCCAAGAGGAAAGCCACGTTCTCACCAGGGCCAGGAAGCGGAAACCAGAGGAATCTGTGCAGAGGGACCCTGCTAAGCTAACCCTCATCCTCAGCTACGTGTTTGGCTCTAACAGGCCTCCATGGGCCTCCAGATCCTCAGGAGGAACTCCCCGGTCATGAGAAGCCTATGGTGAATGAATTTCAGTCTGTTGGTTCTGCTCATCTGCCTCAAATCAGTTTAGTTCTCAGGGCCACCCAGAATACTCTAAGAGAGTAGAGGTCTGTAGGGCTGTGGGGGCCTCTCAGGGTCGTGGGGTGTCCCTTATGCTGTGTTGAGATGCAGGATCCAAGAGGTAAAGAGACAGGACACTGAAGAACTGGTGAAGAGCATCTGGACTCGGGGGACCACACCACCTGTGAGTGGAGATCAGCGGCGGCCCCCCAATGCCCCAGAGCATCTGTATTTATTAAGTACAGGCAGGGGGCAGGGTCGTGAGTGAGGTCATCATCTATAGGCTTAGTGATAGGGCATATATAATCACATGAGTCACAAGCGAGGGGACCACCCCATTATTGTTGGCAACACTTCTTATCTGTGGGCTGGAGACTTCAAAGGGTTTGTAATAGAAAGATACTGTAAGCTTAATGCAGTGGGAGCTGACAGACTTGTGCTCTTCACACCAGAGGGGTTCTTCTCCCTTGGTTACTTCCAGGATCTCAGGCCTGAGGCCGACTTTCCACAGGAACTGGATGCAAGGTGCTACAACTCCTTTATCAGGAGGAGAGACTCTTGCTCCAAGCCTGCCATACAGCGTATGCCCTTTCAGACAGGGACGCCACCGCCTGGATCTTTGGTTCTCATCCTGGTCTGGCTGTTTTCCCATGTACTGCTTCTGTTCTGTGACTGGTCTAGGCATTCCTCCTACTACAAACTACTATTAGGTTATATAGGATTATATAAATCAGCACTAAATGTGTCAGTACAGCTCCGACTACAATAGCTGTATAATTATATAGAAAGATTATATAGAACTAAACATGCTAGATATATGTAAGCAGTAACTTACACTTCAAGCACTAATTCTATAAAGTCATATATGATTATATATGCAGGATTATAGAAAGGAAACAGCTGAGCAATGACACTATAAACTAAGCTATTCTTCAGGCACTAATTGTGCCTGGGTCTGGACAGTTCTCCTTCGTCGGTGCCCCTGGGGGTGTTACCCACAGAGGTCCGATTTTCCGATGCCTGCATCATACAGCGTAGGTCCACCTTCTCCCCGTGGACACCCCTCCTCAACCCCAGACCTGGGCCACCTTGTCCCCCAGACACCTCCTCCCCGGCCCCTGACTTGAGCTACTTTGTCCCTGGACACCTGCTCCCTCCCCCATGACCTGGGCTACCTTGTCCCCTGGACGCCTCCTTCCCAGCCCCTGACCCCACCCCGATGTCGCCCACCTTGTACCCCTGCACCGCCTCCTCGGCAGGCAGCACGCGGTGCAGCCGGTGCTCCCGGGACTCCCTGCACACCACGCAGATGGGGCTCTGGTCCTCCTGGCAGAAAAGCTTGAGGGGCTCCTGGTGCTCTTGGCACAGGTCCCGCTTCTGCAGGCCAGGATGCTGCCGCGCCATCTCGGCCACCTTGGTCAGCAGCCGATTGGGCCGCAGGTTCCTCTGCGGGGACATCTCTCTGCACTCGGGGCAGGGGAAGGCGCCCTTCCGCTTCCGCCTCCCCTTCTTGCCCTGCGCCTTCTCCCAGCTCAGCTGGATGCAGGCTCGGCAGAAGTTGTGGCCGCAGGCAGTCATCACAGGGTCAGTGAAGTAGTCCAGGCAGATGGAGCACGTGGCTTCCTCCCGCAGCTTTCTGGCGAGTTCCACAGCCTCCATGGCTCCTGGGAGACACGAGGCGGGTTTCCGAGTTGAGGGACTCTGGAGAGAGGTGTCAGGGAGCGGCCCGATGCTCCGGGCGCCGGCAGTGTGCAACCTTCCTGTGCAGCCTCCCTTTACAGAGGAGGGCTAGGACTGCGGTCCAGTTGGAGGGTCCAGAGCCCTCATTTTTAGCCTCGTCAATAACAGACACAGACCCTCCCTGACCATTGCTGGCCAGGCCCCTCCGTCCCTCCTGTCCACTGGGCCTGGACCCTGCCGTCCTCTTATGCCTGCTGCTGGCCACCCCAGCTGCACACCTCAGCAGCTCCTCCTCCCCCACCTTTGCCTGCTAAGCCTCCAACCTGCCTTTCTGGAGAAGCCCCTAGCTTGGAGCCTTCCCTTAATCGCTTTCCACCCACCGACCCCACCCAGGCCCCCACTCCCAGTCTCCTATCCTCCCCAGTGATCTTTGAGCCTTTCAACAAGTGTCAGAAAAGCTTTTTCTTTAACAAAATTCGGAAAACCAAAGGAAAAAGGAGATAGGCTATCAGAGGAAAAAAGCTCTCTTCCATTCGGTAGTGAGGTGCCGCTCGGAAAACCACACGCGTGTATACGTGCCCACACGCACAAAGACACAAACACAGGTGCATACACGCACAGACGAACATACACACCCATACTCATACATACCCACGCGTGTATGCAAACGTGCCCAGGCACACACAAACACACGCCCACCCACGCATACACACCACACATAAATGCACACGCACAAACACAGCACGCACAGGCCCAGATGCACAGACCTGTACATATGCATGCGTGTACACACAGGTACACATGCGCGCGCACACGCGGGCACGCGAGCGTCATAGCAAAACTTACACAGACGCCTTTGCAGTCTGAGCTCTTGCGGCCCAGAGCAGTGGAGATCCGCGGCCTTCCGCCTACGCCGCGGGGTTGCTATGGGGACGGAGGCGCAGAGGGATTTGAAAATCGCGTCTACACTGCAAGCACGATCCCGCCTTCCGTTCTGCCATTCCCTAAAGCGAGGGCGTCCACAGGTCTCCGAAGTCCCCGGCCGCGTCCCACGTCCATTTTCTCGGAGCTTTCTGCACCCGCCGGCGCCAGCCCCCCTCGCCCCAGCAGCCCTAAGGGAGGCAGCCCGGCCGACCCGGACCGAAGCGGGGACTGGGCTGCGGCGACCTTCCCGCTCTGGTCCGCTAGGGCCCCGGGAGAGTTCCCCGGTCCCGCGCGCTGGCACTGGGCCCTGGGTTCCCACCTGGAACCGTCTCCAGGGACTCGGCGGAGGCGGGCAGGTGGGCGTTGGAGGACGGGAGGACCAGGTCGGGCTCAGGCCTTGGCCCAGGCCCACGGACCGGCACTCACGCGGAGGGGTCCGCACCGCGCTAGGCGCAGCCGGCAGAGCGCTTGCGGCGGGGAAAGGCTGCGTCTGCCCACCAAGTCCAGGGGGCCCCGGCCCGGGCGCGGGGGCAGGCGGCCGAGGGGCTTTGTGGCGTCAGCGGGGTCCAGGGCGGGGGCGGGGGGCGTCTCTTAGGAGAGGTTGGGGGTGGCTGGCGGGGGGAAGGAAGGAAGGCGGCAGCGGGTGGGACGATCTGGACCGGCCCGGGGCGGGCGCAGCGGGGAGGTCGCTGGGCGGCGGGGAGGATGATGTCCGCAGCCAGAGAGGACTGGAGTGTCACTGGCCTGGGGTGGGACTCTTCGGGAAGGTGAAAGGAGTGTAGCGGGTGGGGAGGCGGGGAGTGGAGTGGGGACAGCTGGCGGGGCAAGGGGCGGACGGGCAGGCGCGCCCGGATGGGGATTGGGACTTGAAGAGGCTTCTCAACCCGGGGTTGGGGCTGCAGGAGGGCAGGTGAGCCTTAGGCCGGAGGGTTGGGGTAGGGAATGGAGAGGCGGTTGGTGGGGCTGGAGTGGGGGCGGGGGTGGGAGTGAGGCAGCAGGGGCCAGTGTGGTTGATGGAGCTTGAAGGGGGGTCCCGGGGAGCAGCCAGCCCCAAGGTCTCTAGTGGACAGTCAGCATCAGGGTGAGGGTCCAGGGAGGGGCATCTCAGTCGGGGGGGGGGGGGTGGGGGGGGACCGGGGGGGGGGGGGGGTCCCGGGGGGGGGGGGTGGGGCAGGCTGGGTCTTGCCGCCACCCCCAGTGGTTTTGTTACCAGCAACAGGTCCTGATCCAGACCCCAAGAGAGGGTTTTGGATCTTGGGCAAGAAGGAATACAGGGCAAATCCATAAACTGGAAGCAAGTTTCTTAAGAAAGTAAAGGAATAGGCCAGGTGCAGAGGCTCACGCCTGTAATCCCAGCATTTTGGGAGGCCTAGGTGGGCGGATCAAGAGGTCAGGAGATCGAGATCATCCTGGTCAACACGGTGAAAACCCCGTCCTTACTAAAAATACAAAAATTAGCTGGGCGTGGTGGTGCATGCCTGTAGTCCCAGCTACTCAGGAGACTGAGGCAGGAGAATTGCTGGAACCCGGGAGGCGGAGGTTGCGGTGAGCCGAGATCCCACCAGCAAGAGTGAAACTCCGTCTCAAAAAAGAAAAGAAAAAAAAATGGCTACTTCATAGGCAGACTGTCCCAAGGCTGCAGGTTGCCCATTTTTAGGGCTATTTCTTGATTATATGCTAAATAATGGGTGGAATATTCATGCATTTCCCAGGAAAGGAATGGGCAGTTCCCAGAACCAGGGGTTCCTCCCCTTCTTAGACCACATAGGGTAACTGTGATGTTGCCTCGGCATCTAACTGCCGTGGCGCTGGTAGGAGTATCTCTTAGCATGCTAATGTATTATAATTAGCATAAAATAAGCAGTTGTGTTGACAACTGCCTGGTCACCATCTTAATTTTAGTGGGATTCTGCCGGCCTCTTCACCCCATGCTGGTTCATCAGCAAGGTCTTTATGACCTGTACCTGGTGCCGACCTCCCATCACAGCCTGTGACTTGGAATGCCTCACCTCCTGAGAATGCAGCCTGGTAGGTCTCAGCCTTATTTTAGCCAGCCTCTATACAAGATGGAGTCACTCTGGTTTAAAAGCCTCTGACAGCGTGGGTGGGAGACCCCGTGGGAGACCCTGCAAGTGCCGAGGCAAGGGTCTGAAGCCTCAACCTGTTCCCGTGTGAATACGGAACTAGAAAAGATTTAGAGATACAGTTACATAGTTATTGCTATATATAAATAATCACAGTTGTTCATATGTAATCACAGAAATATATACTCAGTATAATCTTTTAATCTTATTAATGACTATCAGGTTAAACATGGAACTGAGGTGACGTTGTGAACAAAGTGACCCTAAGGCAGGATGCTCTAAGCCCTCTGTCATGCCCACATAAGGGCTACTGGAGGGTGTCTCAGCTGTGTGGCAGCGCCAGTGCTGGGAAAGTGCCCACTGTTTAGCCAGCTACCGAAGGAGCCGTCCAAAACGTTCAAGACATCCCCTTCCTCAGAGGCGTGGGGAGAAAACTCCACTTCTCCAAGCTCTTGCCGTGGGCCTGCGGCTGTCAGGGGCCCGCAGACACCAGGGGCCTCACTGTCTCTATGGGGTGCTGTGCCTCAGCCGTCATGCTCCATGGCTGCTTTCATGTTCCGCTTCTGCCCCTTGTATCTCCTTTTCTTAAAAGATGTAATCAGTAACACAAATCTCAATGTCCTTGTTCTTGACAAGTATGAAAAAGTGCCGATGCATTAGGTTCTCCTGGCCTCTGCTACTTGAAAGACCTGGGCCCTGATCTCCAAGACACACGATTTACCTGGCCCTATCACTGACCACCATTACCTCACTCTACCTACCCAGCCCCCTGCTTTGTATTCAATAAAGTCAGAGCGTCCAGGCACTCGGGGCCACTGCCAGACTCTGTGCTTTAGTTGACAGTGGACCCCTGGGCCCAAACTCTTTTCTCTCTCTCGGCGTCTTGTGTCTTTTATTTCCAGTTTCTTGTTTCTGCAACAGTAGAGACGTGCTCACAGGACCCTGTAGGGTGTAGACGGCTGGCTTTCCCTGGGCTCACTCAGTGGAGCGTTTCTTCCGTGGTCTCTTGTCACTCACACACACAATGGTGTGCTGACAGGTACCAGCTGGCCATGCACACTGGCTGAATAAGTGAATTACCTTTGTGAACCCCGAATATCTCAGACTGATCTCAATTTAGGAAGTTTATTTTGCTAAAGTTAAGGACGCACGCCCATGACACAGCCATGTGCCCAAGGTGGTCTGAGCAAATCCTCAAGCCCTGACTGTGCCAGAGTTCTGCTTAGCTCTCATTCCTCGGTGCCTATATGGGGGTTATCCACAGCTTGGTTTGACACATTTTAGGGAGACGTGAGACATCAATCATATGTAATATCAACATTGGTTCCATCCAGAAAGGCGGGACGACTGGAGGTGAGGGGGGCCTTCCAGGTCACAGGTAGATACTAGACAAATGGTTGCATTCTTCTGAGTTCCTGATTAGTCTCTCCAAAAGAGGCCATCAGATGCACATGTATCTCAGTGAGCAGAGGGATGACTGAATAGAATAGGGGGCAGGTTCGTCCTAAGCAGTTCCCAGCTTCACTTTTCCTTTTAGCTTAGTAATTTGGGGGCCCAAGATTTATTTTCCTTTCACACCCTCCAAACCCACGACATCCTCTGCCTGTCGTTTGCATCAGTGAGGGGATTGTGAGCAGTGGGTTTCTTTCAATTGGGAAATAGAATCACAGAATTAGGGGGAAATGAAATATACATATATGTATCTCTCTCTCTCTCGAACAGCACCACACATACTCCAGGCACCTGCCCACAATTTATCACCCTTTGTTACAAATGGTTTACAAGCATCTGAGCCTGATTCTTTGGGTTTTCACCTCTTTCTTGTACACTCCATGCACATTAAAAATACTAAGATCGGGCCGGGCGCGGTGGCTCAAGCCTGTAATCCCAGCACTTTGGGAGGCCGAGGCGGGTGGATCACGAGGTCAAGAGATCGAGACCATCCTGGTCAACACGGTGAAACCCCGTCTCTACTAAAAATACAAAAAATTAGCTGGGCATGGTGGCGCGTGTCTGTAGTCCCAGCTACTCAGGAGGCTGAGGCAGGAGAATTGCCTGAACCCAGGAGGCACAGGTTGCAGTGAGCCGAGATCGTGCCATTGCACTCCAGCCTGGGTAACAAGAGCAAAACTCCATCCCAAAAAAAAAAAAAAAAATTAAAATTAAATACTAAGATCAATACAATATGGATGCCTTTCTCCTGTTCATCTGTCTTTGGTCCATTTCATTCACAGGCTCCCCCACATACCAGCATGATGTGGGGAATTCAACAAATACTTGTTAAAATGCTACTTCAGCCAGGATGCTCATTATTAAGGTTCCTGTAGGCTCACCTGGTGATTGGGCTGAGAAATCTATCATCATGATAAAACAATCGGAACACCCTTCATATCCTCAAGTCAGTAAGAAAAAATCAGATAGCAGTTATGTATCTTGATAAATTGCTAAGTTTAATAAAAGGCAGGATGTAGAACTTATGTAGTCTGCCACTATTTAGGTAAACATAATAATTGTATATGCATCTCTTGAAAATATTCAAGAAATTTCATCTGATAAGGGAAATTAAGGGCTGAGGAACCCCCTAATTGAGAGACTCAATTTTCACTATATACCCTTTAGAATTCTTATATTGTATACCACTGCTTTGGATTGTCTTTTTTGAGTCAAGAGTTGCTCTTGTTGCCCAGGCTAGAGTGCAATGGTGCAATCTCGGCTCACAACAACCTCTGCCTCCCAGGTTCAAGTGATTCTCCTGCCTCGGCCTCCCAAGTAGCTGGGATTACAGGTATGTGCCATCATGCCTGGCTAATTTTGTATTTTTATTAGACACAGGGTTTCGCCATGTAGGCCAGGCTGGTCTCGAACTCCTGACCTCAGGTGATCCTCCTGCCTTGGCCTCCCAAAGTGCTGGGATTACAGGCGTGAGCCACTGCGCCCGGCCATGGATTGTCTTTTTTTAAAAAATAAAATATTTAAGCAAAGGATAGGCAATGTCAGTTTTGAAACACAAGTCTTACTTATAATACTGTTCAAGGTAAATATCCTTTGCCCTTACTGAATGCAACCCCTACTAAGTTATTAGCATTGTAGAAAACATTAGAGAGCAAAATTTAAATGGTCATGCAATTTAAAATGTGCTGAATTAAATGGAAAAGAAGAGGGAGTCCTCAAAATAAGGTAAGGGAGTCATGGCCTCTTTATGTCTTCAATTCCGACTCCTCAACAGGAGAGTCTACTGGGCCACAGAAAAACAAATCCAGATTGTCATGAACTGAATGCTTATCTCCAAAATTCAAATTTTGAAATCCTTACCTCTAAGGTGATGGTGTTAGGAGATGTCATAAGGGTGGAGCCTTCCTGAATAGGATTAGTCCCTTAGAAAAGGGACTCCAAAGAGCTCCCTTACCCCTTGTACCACGTAAGAACACAGTGAGAAGGCCCCATCTGTGACCCAGAAAGCAGGATCTCACCAGAAGCTGAATCTGTTCACAACATGGCTGTGGACTTGCCAGCCATCAGATCCGTGAACATAAATTCCTGTTGCTTATAAACCACCAAGCCCATGGCACTTTGTCACAGCAGCCTGCACAGACTGAGACGAAAGAAGACATATTAATGGGAGACAGCACGCACATTTCATTTTTACGTGTACATGGGCAAATGAAGACCTCAAGAGTGGTTAGGCCTAAGTGCTTATCCACTGGATGGAACAAAGGGTAGTAATTGTGAGAAAGAAACTGGAATACCTGGGGAGGCTGGAGGAAGATAAGAGCTATTTACTGTTTGTTTGTTTGGGACAGTCTCACTCTGTCACCCAGGCTGGAGTGCAGTGGCGTGATCTCGGCTCACTGTAACCTACACCTCCTTGGGTTCAAGTGATTTTCCTGCCTCCGCCTCCCAAGTAGCTGGAACTACAGGTGCGCACCACCACACTCAGCTAATTTTTTTTTTTTTTTTTTTTTTTTAGTAGAGATGGGGTTTCACCACGTTGCCCAGGCTGGTCTGGAGCTCCTGACCTCAGGTGATCCCCCTGCCTCGGCCTCCCAAAGTGCTGGGATTACTGGCGTGAGCCACCATACCCAGCAATGAGAGCTATTTTAGCAAAGCCTGTTTGTACACATTTCTGCTGTGCTTCAATCCCCATGCCTAGTCATGCTGTTTCACCCCCCTGGTAGAGGGAAGCACCTTTCCCAGGGAGGGTTCACCTCCTGCTTTCAGGAAAAGGGGTCAAAGGTCGGGCCCTTCTTGCACCTGCTGCTCTTCAAGTGCCTTCAGCTCAAAATAATTCTTCTATCAAATCCACATATTTTGGAGAGGTATATTCTATCTCTTAATGTCTAGCTCTTCTTTCTATTGTTGATTTCTGGGATTTTAACCTTTTGATATTTAGAACCATTCATTCCAGTTTTATAAACACTGCACACTCAGGCTGCCTCCATAGTGTACGTGAGCCCAAAGAGTTGAGTACAAGGTGAACAGATGTCCACATTTCAGTCACTATCCCACATGGTTAGGAGCCGCAGGACACAGAAGCAAAGGCTCTGGTCTTAATTGTAAGAGTCTGGCTCTGTCGCCCAGACTGGAGTGCAGCAGTGGCGTGATCACAGCTTACTGCTACTGTAACCTGGAACTCTTGGGCTCAAGCAATCCTCCCACCTCAGCCTTCTGAGTAGCTAGGACCACAGGCACATGCCACCATGCCCAGCTAATTTGTATATTTTTTGTAGAGACAGGGTCTTGCCATGTTGTCCAGGCTGGTCTTGAACTCCTCACCTCAAGAAATCGTCCCATTTCAGCTTCCCAAAAAGCTGGGATTACAGGCATGAGCCACCACGCCTGGCTGGAAAGTCTTCCTTGAGTACCCACTTACTCGACCCAGAGAGACTCGGGTTACTTTCTTCCTAGGTCCTCAGCTGTCAGCTCTGAGATCTGTGTAGCCTTATTCTGTCTTTATAGGACATGAATTGGTATACGATCCACTCCATTAAACACTTAAAACAGGGAACATATGAGGCCAACCTCTGGGCTTTTGTTTCTTTTCCTGACAGGGTCTGTTGCTCAGATTGGCCTCAGAAACTCCTGGGTTCAAGCCATCTTCTCGCCTCCCCAGTAGCTAGGATCACAGGCATGGGCCCCTGCCCAACTTAAACTCTGTCCTTTATACAAAGGTTGAATGACAGGGAGCTGCTCAAGTGGCTTGGTCTCCTACAGAAGGCAAAGCTTCATCACGGTCCTGTCAAGAATGCATTATCTGCATCCATTTCCCCCAAATGTATCTAACTGCCCAAATTCCTGCTCCCTCCAGGCTACCCAGCAACATCATCAGCAAGGTTACAGAATTAGCTCTCCACCTTGTAAAGCACAGAAGACTTGAATTTTACCTGCACAGGGAGGCTGAGGCAGGAAGATGGCTTGGGCCCAGGATTTTGAGGCTGGCGCTATGCTCAGGTCCGTGAATAGCCACTGCACCCCAGCCTGGGCAGCATGTCAAGACCCCATCTCTGGAAAAGAAAAAAAAAAAAAAAGAAGACTTAAATTTACCTCAAGGGAGTCTAGTATTGAAAGTCGGAGCTGACTTTCAAAACCAAAACACAGTTGTCCCTGAATATTCTAGGCTTTTTGGATAGCCCTCCAAGGATCTGTCACTCATAAGCTTAAATACATGCTGAGATTTAAAAGGTATGGTGTTTAGTTGTGTACTAATGAATTGATGAAGCTTTTGAATCGAGTTAATCGGCTATAAATTAGGTTCAGAGACTTATAAAATTCACTGTTGTCTGTTGATGGCATTTTATGCACACCCCTTGCTATGTATGAGAGTACCTTTTACTATCATTGCTTTTACACACAACACAGGCTCCCTTCACTCAAGCACAAGCACCTTGAAAGCAGAGTGGGCAGTGGCCACAGGAAATGGATTTCATTCCCTCCATAATCCGAGCATCGGGTAGTGCTTGGCTTTCAGTTTAATAAAGCCTTTAGCAAGTAAATGATTCCAACCTGTACCAGAGGGAAACAGTCCTTACATCCGTATCCTCACAGCCATCCCCAGGTTTTCCCGACATAAGTCTACTGCTGGGTCTGTGGCCTGCCGCCCAAGCTGTAGGGTTTCTCAGCAGGTTGTTCTCTCGTCCCCAGAGCACCACTAGTCTACTCTGCAGCGCTGGGAAGCCTGCTTCAATGGGCCGCCCATGTCCGCTACTGCTCAGTAAACCGACTTCTAGGGCACAGTGCCCTCCTTGAACTTTACACTTGGGGTTTCCCAGTACTGATTTCACTTAGGTTGAGTTACAATGCACCCACCTAGCTGGGCCTCTCACACACAACTAGCCGAACGGAAGATGGACTGAATTAACATAAATGACTAGCCAGCCTTCTAACTAAATGGGAAACTGGGTATGTTAACACCTACAATGATGTGCACCTCTATCCTAACTGGAGATGGGCCAACACCACAGCTACACACAGGCGCATGCGCACACACGCACACTCCTAGCCAGCATTCTAGCCTAACAGGAGACAGGCCAAGTTAACAAGATTTGCAACTAGCTGACCTTCTAAATTAACAAGAGGTAGGCTGAGTTCACACATTCAAGTAACTGGACTTTTTAAGATGGGAGTCTCACTCTATCACCCAGGCCGGAGTGCAGTGACAGGATCTTGGCTCACTGTAACCTCTGCCTCCTGGGTTCAAGCAATTCTGCCTCAGCCTCCCTGAGCTGGGATCACAGGTCCATCACCACATCCGGCTAATTTCTGTATTTTTAGTAGAGATGGGATTTCACCATGTTAGCTGGTCTGAACTCCTGACCTCAGGTGATCCACCTGCCTTGGCCTCCCAGAGTGCTGGGAGCTGGGATTACAGGCATGAGCCACCGCTTGGCAAAGTAGCTGAAGATAGGCCAACACATACTTGCTGTCCTCCTAACAGATGGGCTGCCACTGGTAACCTCACTTGAAACAGGCTGTATGTAAACACAGACACACACACACTGGACTTGTAACCCAATTTGAAAGCGGCTGAGCTGAGAACACACAAGACCAGCCAGCCTTCCAACCTAACTGTAGATAGGTTAACACACACAACTAGCTAAGCTTGCTACCTAACTGGAAATAGGGTTATCTGGCAGGAGATGGTTACCCCCAAACCCTCTTCCCCCATTCCATCCTCCCAGCCCCCAAACCCTCTTCCCGAATCCCCAAAGCAAACCCTGATTCTTATCTAAAAGGATAGACCCAAGTTAAGAGCACCACCACTAGCTGGACTTGTAACTGGAGACGGGACGGGCGGTAACGCGGTGTGCTGACCTAACGGGACAGGGTGAACTACACAGGACTCGCCAGCCTCCACCCTACTCAGGTAGGCGAGCCGGCACCGGCCAGCAGAAGGAATCCTGCAAAGTCCAAGAACGCCTCTTGCTACAGCCACTTTTCCGACCAGATGGGCGGCTCTTAAAACAGCCTTTGAGGGTCGCGCAGCCTCTCAGGTGGTGATGGCCCTCCTAGGCCCGCTCCCCGCGGATACGGCGCACCAACTGCCTGTCCTTGGGCATGATGGTGACCCGCTTGGCGTGGATGGCACACAGGTTGGTGTCCTCGAACAGCCCCACCAGGTAGGCCTTGCATGCCTCCTGCAGCGCCGTCGCAGCCGAGCTCTGGAAGCACAGGTCAGTCTAAGTCCTGGGCGATCTCGCGCACCAGCCGCTGGCAGGGCAGCCTGCGGAGCAGCAGCTCCGTGCACTTCTGGTAGCGGCGGATCTCGCGCAGCACCACCATCCCGGGTCGGTAGCGGTGAGGTTTCTTCACGCCACCCGTGGTGGGGACGTCCTTACGAGCCACCTTGGCGGCCAGCTGCTTGCATGGGGCCTTGCCAACCGCCGTCTTCCGCGCAGTCTGCTTGGTTCAGGCCACGTACCCAGAACGGCGGCATCCACGGCCTCCTCCCCCCAGACTGCCCAGCCCTCGGCGAGTCACCTGCATTTATAGAGCTTGCCACATTCCCATTGGCCGGCCTCGGGTGGCATGATGGCCCACTGCTCTCCGATTGGCCCACCGGGTGCGCCCACCGGCTGCCTCGCCCTTATATTTGCGCCTGTTGGTCGCCGCCACCAGAGCTGGGGCCCGTCTTTCTAGGGGCTGATGTGGGAAGGCCGGGCCATGGGGATCCTCTCTCTTCAGCACAAGCGTCCGCGTGTCTTCTCAGTGCTCCTCTTCTCCCTTCCCCATGACCTGGTAGGAAGAGACTTCCAGAAGCCAGCACGTGGCGTTCCACTTTATTTTGTATTTTTTTTTTTCTTAGAGACGGAGTCTCACTCTTGGTGCCCAAGAGTGAATGGCACGATCTCTGCTCACTGCAACCTCCGCCTCCCGGATTCAAGCAGTTCTCCTGCCTCAGCCTCCCGAGTAGCTGGTATTACAGGCATGCGCCACCACACTGGGCTACTTTTTTGTATTTTTAGTAGAGACAGGGTTTCCCCATGTTGACCAGGCTGGTTTCAAACCCCTGAGCTCAGGTGACACACCCACCTTGGCCTCCCATAGAGCTGTGATTACAGACGTGAGCCACCATGCCCACCACCATGCTTCTTGCACAGCCTGGAGAACCATAAGCCAAATAAACCTTTTTTGCTTTTTAAATAAATCATCTAGCCCCAGACTAAGACAGAAGCCAAGGAAAATCTATACAAACTTGCAAGCCCCATGGCCATATCAAATCTCAGAACTAACTAGTGTTTGTCCATCTCTGCATATAAGTGACTCTAACTGCCTATTTGCGTCTTCATTTCCTTACAAGAGCTCCCGTGCCACATTAAATTTGTATTAAATAAATGTATATTAAATAAATGTATGTTTTTCTCCTGCTCATCTGTCTAATGCCAGTCTAATTCTTGGGCGCAGCCTGGGCCCTAAATGATGAAGGTGGAATTCTGCCTTCCCTACAGCGCCCATTGTCTTGGTCTGTTTTGCGTTGCTGTAAAGGAATACCAGAGGCTGGGTAATTTGTCAGAGCTTTTTTTGGCTTGTGGTTCTGCAGGCTGTACAAGAGGCAAGGCTCCAGCATCTGCTTCCGATGAGAACCTCAGGAAGCCTCCACGCATGAGATGAAGGGGACCCCTGTGTGCAGAGGTCACAGGGAGAGAGAGGGGAGGGGTGCTGGGCTGTTTTTAACAACCAGCTTTGGCAGGAACTAATAGAGTGAGAACTCCACTCCCCACAAGGGAGGGCAGGAGTCTATTCATGAAGGATCTGCCCCCAGGACCCACACACCTCCCACAAGGCTCCACCGCCAACACTGGAGATTAAATTTCAATCTGAGAATTAATGAGACCAACACCATGTTGGAACTATAGCACCCACTACATTGCAGTCTCTGCCTTATCAATGATTACCTGAACCTCTTGTCCCCATGCATTAATCCACACAAGGTACTTGTTTGCCCAGGCTTGGTTCAGCTTCTCCCCTCCCCCAGTGCCCTGATTTTTGGCCCCTCTTGAAGCAGGCAAGGCTCAGGGTAAAGTATCCTCAATCTCCTATCCCTTCAGCCACCCTTCATCCACTTCTCCAGACCTGGTTCTTTCCAGCCTCATTCATTCCTCCCTATATGAGAAAACTCCTTTTCTTTCTTTTTTATTATTATTATTTTTTGAGACAGAATCTCCCTCTGTCACCCAGGCTGAAGTGCAATGGTGTGATCTTGGCTCACTGCAACCTCCGCCTCCCAGATTCAAGAGATTCTCCTGTCTCAACCTCCTGAGTAGCTGGGATTACAGGTGTGCACCACCACACCCAGCTAATTTTTGTATTTTTAGTCGAGATGGGGATTCACCATGTTGGTCAGGCTGGTCTCGATCTGTCCTCCTTGGCCTCCCAAAGTGCTGGGATTACAGGTGTGAGTCACTGGAAATGAGTTAGCAAAAAATTCCGACATTAACAACCCGATTTCAAAATGGCTTGAGAGGTGGTTCAGTCAATGGAAAGAGACCATAGCCTTAATTCTTACTTCTTTAGCAACTGTAATAAGTATACTCATTCTCGTTAGGTGTTGTATTATACCATGCATCTGAAGGCTAGTACAAAGACTAGTAAACACAGGTCTTACTCTGTGTTTACTAGATCTCCCGGGAACCTCTCCCACCTTATTCAGAAAAGTTACTTCTCTTAAAAAGTCAAACAGAACACTTAAGACAAGATATGTTAAACAAGTTTGAAGAGGAACTATAAAGTAAAAGAGGAGGAATTGTAGGAAGTATAAAAGTTCCTCTTCAAAGTTTCCTTTCTTGTTAAAGAATAAATCATAAGTGTTAGAAGTCAGTTCAAAGAGTTTCTTCAAAGCCTTCTTGCTTTTTACTAGTGACTCTCTGTTAAGCCCTATCCTGTGTAGCTTTTAGATATAAAGGAATAAGTAGATTCTATGTCCTTGTGCTTTAACCAAGATGTTTGTGCTAGACATGCTCACAGGCACATAGTACAGTCTATGTCCTTGTACTTTAACTAAGATATTTATGTTATTACTTTTCTAAGTTCTTTCCCAAGCAACTTCCTGTCCTTTCCTTATTCAGACTTCCTCTTTCCATTTTGTTCTCCATTGCTCTTACCTGTTTAGAAAGTTTTAAGTTGTTAGCCAATCAGGTTTTAGTTTAGATTGTGAGGTCTGGCTACAGCCAACAGAGATCAGACACAGCAGTAAGGAGAACCCCAAATGCATAAGGGATAAATATGTCTGCTTTTCCTTTGTACATTGTACTCTTATGGCAAGATGGCTAATGAGGGTACCCTTTCTGCAGGAAGTAAAGATTGCCTTGCTGAAAGATCCTTTATCTCTGTGCTCAACTTTTCTTTGCGGCAGCGAACATGCATGCAAGTGTGCATTCCAACAGTCTTATTTTTTCTTTACTTTATAAATTTGTCTGCAAAACAAGGTATTAATCTATCATTAATTGATGATCAACTGAACAGTTCATTTTCTTGATTTCCAAACATTGAGTTCTATGTAAGAGGCATGAGGAGAACTTAGTGATCCTTAAAAACTTCCCTGCACAGGATGCAGGGAAGTCAGGCACTTCCAAGAGCTGACCCATTGGTCCGCAGATTAAAGCAAATTTTTAGAATAGATTAGAACAGATTAAAGCAAATTTTTCTCCTTAAACAGGTAAGATGAACTTCCATCCAGATTGAGTGCTCTAGAAGTAACCTTTTCCTTAATAGGAGATTTCTTTTCTTGTTCAGTTTGAATAAATGGCAAGAATTCCTCACACCATAAGCTTTTTTTTCTTTTTCTTCTTATTTATTTTATTTTATTTTATTTTTACCCAAAAGCCCCTATGGCAGTTTTATAAAGCCTATAGATTCTGTCTCAGAAAGTTTTTTTTTTTTTTTTTTTGAGATGGAGTCTCACTCTGTCACCCAGACTGGAGTGCAGTGGTGTGATCTCTGCTCACTGCAACCTCCGCCTCCCAGGTTCAAGCAATTCTCCTGCCTCAGTCTCCAGAGCAGCTAGGATTACAGGCACCTGCTACCTGACCCAGCTCTTTTTTTGTATTTTTAGTAGCGACGGGGTTCGTCATGTTGGCCAGGCTGGTTCCGAAGTCCTGACCTCAAGTGATCCACCCACCTCAGCTTCCCAAAGTGCTGGGATTACAGGCGTGAGCGACTGCATCTGTCCAGAAAGTTTTTAAATGCACAAACGTTATTTAAAAGTTAATTATACAAAGGAAACATATTGACATAAGTTGTGAAAACATATAAAATTAACTTTTTATAGAGTTATAAGTGTGCATCTTTGTGAATGCATTAAATAACATATTTGAATTGGAAAGGACTTGCAGCTACTGTCATTTCAAAGTGGTGATGGGTGTCAAGGGTCCTCAAAGATATTTGCCATGACTGCACTGTGATAAAACTGTCTCTCTGCATATCAATTACACGCCTTTCTCAGTGTTTTCTTGATTGCCCTGGAGTTTGTAATATACATTTACAACCAATCTAAGTCCACTTTTAAATAACATTACCCTGCTTCATGGTCAGGAGTGGTAGCTCACCCCTGTAATAAATTCCAGCACTTTGGGAGGCTGAGGCCAGCAATGGCTTTAGCACAGGAGTTTGAGATCAGGGCAATGTGGTGAGACCCCATCTCTCCAAAAAATACAAAAAAATAGACAGGGTGCCCAGATATGGGATCACACATTATTCTAGGCATGTGAGGGCATTTCCGGATGAGACTAAGATTTGAATGGGTTGACTGAGGAATGCGAATTGGCCTCCGTAGTGTGGGTGGTCTCATCCAGTCAGGTGAAGGCCTGAACAGAAAATCCTGTGGTCGCTGGAGGAAGAGGCCAGCAGACAACCTTTGGACCCAAGCTGACCATCACCTCTTACCTGAGTTTCCAGCCTGCCCCATAACTATGTGAGCCAATTCCTTTAAGGAAATCTCCCTCTCTATGCATCCTATCGGTTCTCTTTGTCTGAAAAACCCTGACTCCTGACTGGTACAACCCAGCCTCCTCATTCTCTCTTTTCCCTTTCAACATGGGTTGTCAGCAGGCCAAGTGCTTTTCTGAGCTTGTCGTGTTTTGGTAATACCTTGTCCCATGTGGCTGAGAACGTCTACATCTGCTACTAAGCCTCTGTATCCAAACTGCTCTACACAAGCTGTGGCACACTGGCCATATGCGCCGCATGCTGGGTATTGCGTGTGACAGTCTCATGACACAACATGAACCCCTGACTTTCCGGTGGCCCTTTAGTTTCCTGCCGTATGCCGTAGGGCCCACCTTCCCTGCGGGGCACTTCTGTGACTGTGGTGAATCAAAACAGACCCAAACCTGGGCAACTTACACAGGGCCGTGGTGTGTCCGTTTCCTGGAGCTGCTGTAATGAAAACCACAAACCGTCTGGGAAATTTCTTTTCTGGCTGTTTTGGAGGCTAGAGCTCCGAAAGCAAGATGTTTGCAGGGTGGGCTGTAAGTGAGCGTAGCAGACACGTGGCACAAATGTCCCAACCCAGCGCACTAAGTGGTTTAACGAGATGCTAGATCACTTCCCTAAGGCCACATTCTGAAGACACCCAATCCGTTTTGAGTTCCTGCTGGAAAAGCTCAAAGCTCCTCTCTTAGTCCACCTGGCTGCTATAACCAGATACCAGAAACAGGGTTGCTTGGAAACCGCAAGCATTTATTGCTGATAGCTCGGGAGGCTGGAAGTCCAAGGTGAAGGCATGGCAGATTGGGTTTCTGGAGACGCCTTGCTTCCTGGTTCATAGACCGTAGAAAAGTCCGCACAGGATGGAAAAGATGAGAACGCTCTCTGGGGTCTGTTTTATGAGGGCACTAATCCCATTCATGACGGGTGATTAGAATTTCAAAATGTGAATTTCGGGGTATGTGGTGTGATATTATTTTATATATAGATACGGTTTTGCCCATGGTCCTGGCTAATAACTCCCATGGCCTCCGGGATTTCCTAACTGACTGATGTGATGTCTTGTTAAAGTGTTTGGGCTTTGGTCCTTGGTTCCCTAAGCAGCCCCGGAACAGCTTCAGAGCAACCAAGGCCGCAGTGTTGCAGGACTTTTCCGGAGCTCAGCTATAACCAGTTGGACCTCTGGCCCCCTCTCCCTGAGCAAATTGGTAAAAGGCCTCGGGATTTTTGAGCTGTCCTTATCCCTTCCCTTGTTTTGTTTTGATACATGTTTTCTTTTTTCTTTTTTTAAAGACAGGGTTTCACCATGTTGGCCAGGCTGGTCTTGAACTCCCAACCTCAGGTGATCCGCCTGCCTCGGCCTCCCAAAGTGCTGAGATTACAGGCGTGAGCCACCACGCCCAGCCTTTTTTTTTTGAGACGGAATCTCACTCTGTCTTCAGGCTGTAGTGCAGTGGCTCAATCTCAGCTCACTGCAACCTCCCCCATCCCCGGTTCAAGTGATTCTCCTGCTTCAGCCTCCCAAGTAGCTGGGACTACAGGTGCATGCCACCATGCCCAACTAATTTTTGTATTTTTAGTAGAGACAGGGTTTCACCATGTTGGCCAGCGTGGCCTCCATCACTTGGCCTCGTGATCCGCCCAACTTGGCCTCCCAAAGTGCTGGGATTACAGGCTGATACACGTTTTCTAATAACCTGGTTTGTCTGTTCTTGCCTTCAGGTCATCAAACTCCAAACAGTCATGCCACCTCTGCCTCTGACGACAGTCCCTTCTGCCAGGAACCCTAAGATTGGCCTCTGAGGGAGCTCTGACTACTGTTTCCCCAAAACAGTGACCCCTGTCAGCCTGACTAACATGGAGAAACCCCGTCTCTTCTAAAAATACAAAATTAGCCTGGTGTGGTACTGCATGCCTATAGTCCCAGCTACTCAGGAGGCTGAGGCAGGAGAATCACTTGAACCCAGGAGGTGGAGGTTGCAGTGAGCCGAAATCGCGCCACTGCACTCCAGCCTGGGCAACAAGTGCGACATTCCTTCTCCAAAAAAAAAGACTCCCAGTTCAGAGAGTCCTGCCCCATGCCCAGAGGAAGGATGCTGCCCAGAGAGGCCAAAAAAAAGTCTGAACACATGGGCCCTGCTGGGGTTCCTGCCCAGTCTGTTGGGGTTACACCACACACTTTCTGTCCAGTCACATTTCTACACAGCTGTTTTCAGTCATGTCCATCCAATGAAGTCTCCATAAAAGGTCCAAGAGGACAGGGTTTGGGGATTTCTGGAGGGCTGAACACGCTGGGGCTTGAGGAAGGGGAGGGAGAACTCCTTCACAGGCCGGGAGGGTGGCACAGCCCAACATCCCCCTGCTCAGAAGCCCCTGTGCTTGGACCCTTCCAGACCTCTCTCTCTGCCTCCCTTTATCTGGCTATTTACTTGTAGCCTTAAACTATTCCATAAATAAACAGGTAAATGTAATTAAGTGTTTCTCTAGTTTTATGAGCCGCTCTAACAAATCAATCAAGCTTAAAGAGGGGGTCGTGGGAACCCCAACTTATAGCTGGTCAGAAGTTCTGGAGGCTTGAACTTGCCCGTGGTATCTGAAGTGGGGGCAGCTTCGGGGACTGGAGCCCTCAACCTCTGGGATCTGATGCAATCTCCAGGTAGATACTGTCAGAATTTGTTTGTTTATTTAGTTTTTTATTATGATTCTTTTTTTAAAAATTTGAGACAGTCTCACTCTGTCTCCCAGGCTGGGGTGCAGTGGCGAGATCTTGGCTCATTGCAACCTCCACCTGCCAGATTCAGGCAATTCTCCTGCCTCAGCCTCCCGAGTAGCTGGGATTGCAGGCGCACGCTACCAAGCCCGGCTAATTTTTTTCATTTTTAGTAGAGACTGGGTTTCACCGTGTTAGCCAGGATGGTCTTGATCTCCTGACCTCATGATCCTCCTGCCTTGGGCTCCCAAAGTACTGGGATTACAGGCATGAGCCACTGCTCCCAGCCTATTTATTTAGTTTTTTTACTGTTATGATTATTTTGAGATGGGCCTTGCTCTGTTGGCGAGGCTGGAGTCCAGTGCTGACACCCTCGCTTACTGCAGCCTGGAACTCCTGGGCTCAAGCCATCATGTCTCAGCCTCCTGAGTAGCTGGGACTACAGGCGTGCATCACCATGCTCAGCCCCTTACTTTATTTTTGTAGAGACAAAGTCTTGCTATGTTGCCCAGACTGGTCTCCAACTTCTGGGCTCAGGCGACTCTCTCCCACCTCTGCCTCCGAAAGCTGGCATTACCAGGGCATGAGCCACCGTGCCTGGCTGGAGTCAGAATTAAATTGATTCAAGGGGATCTAGCTGGTGCCCATTACAAAACTGCTTGCTTGCTGGCTGGCACCGAGAAATCCTCACACATTCAGTCACAGATGTCTCTGTGTTCACTGTTGTGCTGTGAGAACAGAGGAAAAGCAAATGTTGGTTTTTCTCTACATCAGAGGACACAAATGTTCAGACCATAGTGGCTGTGGCAGGAATTTGCCGCTCTATTTCAGCCAACGCCTGAAGACCGGTCCAGGCTCTTTATTTCCTGTGGCATTTGCTGAAATCGGCTCACAACTGGGAATGTGTGTGTCTCCCACAGCCCAGCAGTGGCTTCTCCAGGATCCCAGAGACATTCCTTTGAAAGCAGGAGGGAGCAGGCCTCAGTCTCTGCAGGAAGGTAGAATCCTGACTTTGGGCCTGGCTGGCTGGCAAACGCAGATGGCCTCATCCGATTGGCCCGGAGCCCCCGCTCGCCCCCTCTCCTTCCCTTTGCGACGCCCGCCACCTCTGCGCAAATTAGAACGGGGCTGCTCTTTCCTGACGGCTGCCGGCTCGGAATGGAAATCTGTTTTCACCGCTTTAATGTCCCGCTTTATCTTCGCGTTAACTGAAAAATCACAGGATCTATAAATTGGAAACGCAGATTCCATTTCTCGTAAAGGGTTACAGCCTGCAAGGTGGCGGTCCCTGGGGCAGGGAAGCGCAGCCTCGGCCAAGCCCAGGGGCGGGCGCTTCGGGGGAGAGAGGGGTTGGGGCGGGGGCTGTGCGCTGCCGGCTTTGCCACACACGCGTATTCCACAGGCCACGGGAGGGCTGGGAGACCCGTGAGGGCGGCCCTCACCCGTGTGCAAGGAACACACACGCACCTGACCAGTGACGGACGCTCACCCTGGGGTGAGGCTTCACACGTGACTGTATCCAGTTGGGTCTTTCCAGGACGCAAAGGTGCGCGCGCGCAGCCTGTGTGCCCCGGCCAGGACCAGCCCACGGCCACGGTCTCTCATCAGGAGGAAGCTCCTGAAGTCAGTGTCCTGTGCAGTGAAGGCTGCCGCCGCGGCTGGTGGAGCAGGGGGCGGGCGGCGATGGTCCAAACGCTGCTTAGTTGGAGGCCGGAGCTTGTTTAGCTGCTGGAGAAAAAGGATGGTTTACTCTTTAAGTGTAGGGTGCTGACTTCACCCTTAGATCTGGTTTGTAATTTGGCACCTCATTGCCACAAAGACTCCATCCTGTCTCTGTTTTTTAAAAATTCTCTAAACCTCACCTGGGACTGTCTCTGTGTTAACACAAATGCTGTCAGTTGTAAACCTCAGCAGAAAGGGGTATGATGAGCTGTGTCCGATTCCCACCCTATCATGGCCAGAAATTGTTTTGAAGCTTCTGCGGGGTCCCCTGTACCAAGAGGGTGTCTGTGCACTTGGCTGGGGGTGCTTAGGATTTTATTTTCGTTTAGTCTCTAAATCAGGAGACACAGACAGGCCGGCCTATTTGTAGATCTGCCAGTTAGCTTGCAGTGGAGGCGGGCCCTGGGTTCATGCGAAATGAGGAGGGTGAAACCCCGGCCCGCAAGGCCTAGGGCCCAACCTGCAGTAGCAACAAGGCTAAGTTGCTGCACTTTTCATAAGACAACTCGCGTGGATTATTTTCCACGAATTGCTTGTCATAGCAAGTGTGGAAGATCCACCAGAACCTTCAGGCAGAACCACACTTTTGTTTTCAGAAATGTCTCTCCTTTCTTTCCACAGTGTTGCTTTAGCCTAAATGTTTGCTCAGAGAAGTGTGAACCAAAGGAACTCCACCTTGCATAGGCTGAGATGTGCTGGGCTGCATTCCCAGGAGGTTAAGGAGGTTAGGCGTTCTAAGTCACAGGACGAGATACAGGTTATAAAGACCCTGCTGATGAAACAGGTTGCAGTAAAGAAGCTGGTCCAACCCCATCAAAACCAAAATGGCCACAAGAGTGACCTCTGGTCATCCTCACTGCTACACTCCCACCAGTGCTATGACAGTTTACAAATGCCATGGCAACATCTGGAAGTTACCCTATATGGTCTAAAAGGGGAGGAACCTTCAGGTCTGGAAATTGCCCACACCTTCCCTGGTAAACTGATGAATAATCCCCACCTTTTTAAGCATATAATCAAGAAATAAACATAAAAATGGACAACTGATGGACCATGCCACTGCTCTGCCTATTGAATAGTCATTTTTTATTCCTTTACTTTTTTTTTTTTTTGAGACAGAGTTTCACTCTGTTGCCCAGGCTGGAGTGCAATGGCATGATCTCGGCTCACCACAACCTCCGCCTCCTGGGTTCAAGTGATTCTCCTGCCTCAGCCTCCTGAATAGCTGGGATTACAGGCGCATGCCACCATGCCTGGCTAATTTTTGTATTTTTATTAGAGATGGGGTTTCACCATGTTGGCCAGGCTGGTCTCGAACTCTTGACCTCATGATCCTCCCACCTCAGCCTCCCAAAGTGCTGAGATTACAAGCATGAGTCACCGCACCCAATGACATCAACTTCTTTAGATTCCACAGAGTGAGATTATGCAGTGCTTGTCTTTCTATATCTGGCTTATTTCACTTAACATAATGTTCTCATTTCACCCATGTTGTCCCAAATGAGGGAATTTCGTTATGTTTTAAGGCCAGAATGGTATTTCCTTGTGCACCACATTTTCTTTACACATTTATCAGACAATGGATGCCTAGGTGAACTCTATGTCTTGGTTACTGCAAATCGTGCTGCAGGGAACATGGTGCAGCCCTCTCTTCTGGATACGGATTTCATTTCCTTCAGCTATATCCCCAGCAGTGGGGTTGCTGTATCGTTTGGGAGTTCATCTGGAATGTAATAATGTGTTTCATAATAACTGTACTACCACTGTGATTCTGAAGATCAATATATCTCCACAGGGTAGACACCTACATCATCATTAAAAAAAGAGAACGGTGAACATGAGAGACAAGCATAGCTGACCCCAGCTCTTCAATTTTGTCTATTACTAATTTTCATGGAGAGCCACATGAGCTCCTTGGAGTGCAGTTAAGTCCATATCTTGAGTCAAAAAGACAAAAGTTAAAAACAAAAGAAAACAAAATCCCATGCTAGGTCCAAAATAACTTTTTGCTGTCAGAAAGCTAAGATGAGCTGGGCACAGTGGCTCATGCCTGTAATCCCAGCACTTTGGGAGGCTAAGGTTGGAGGACGGCTTGAGCCCAGGAGTTCAAGGCCATCCTGGGCAACATAGAGAGACCCAGTCTCTAAAAACAAACAACAACAAGAAACTAAGTAGGCACTGTGATGCTCACTGTAGTACCAGCTACTTGGGAGGCTGAGGCAGGAGGATCGCTTGAGCCAGGAGTCTGACGCCACAGTGAGCCTGATGAGGCGGCAGAGCTAGACCCGGTCTCAGCAAAACAAAAACAAAAGCAAAGATGCTTTCAACAATCAGGGTGACCCTAAAAGGATACAGCAACCTTTTGAAAATACCTCCCCAGGGCTGCAGTGTGACCATTTCAGCATGAAAAACAACCATACAAATGGTTAATGAGAACATGCCTCATTTATAAAAGGAGAAAAGTTAACATACACATTCCTAATAATAAGACAGCAAAATGATGGAAATAACATTGCATTGAATTTTTCTTGATTTTGGTAAAAAGCGCGTTGACACGTATGGGGGTTCTGTTTCTTTAAGCTCATGTCTGTTTACATAACGTTTGGGTCTGGGTGTGTGTGTGTGTGTCTGGGTGTGCGTGCGGGCGGGTGTGTGTGTGTGTGTAGGCAGGAGAGAGCGAACAAAATCAAGAGCCCGGGACAAACGCCCTTGAGAAGGGGCGATGGGAGGGCCAGGCTTGGCGGGCTGGTGCAGAGGAGGGGGCACGTCCCACCCAGGCGCGCCCGGAACAAAGGCGCCTGTCACCCGTCTCTCCCCACGCGGGCTGGCTCTGGAAAGCCCACGGGAAACAAGCCTCACTTTCGGGAAGAGTAAGCCGCAGTCCTCCTATCCAGGGGACACGAGATGCTGCGAGAAACCAGTGACGTGTGTTAAACCAGGAGCGCGTGGGAGGTTCTGACCCTGGGGAGGAGCAGACCCCCGCGCGGTGTCCGCGTGCGGACACCCGGAGGGCGGAGTCTGTAACCAAGGCAACCAGACCCGAGGTTTTGAACCGACCAATTGGGAGGCGTCCCCGAGCTTGAAACTGGGCCTCAAAGCGTTTTACGCAGAGTCGCGGCCACCCAGCGCTGGGAGCCGGAGCCCGCACAGCCCACGCTCCCCTGGCCCCCCAAAGGCGTGCGCGAGAAAGCGCCCGCGGCCGCCCCCTGCGCCCCGCACCTCAGTATCCCCGCTCCTCCGCAGCGGTGCACCCCCCGGCCCCGCCGTCCGCTACGGCGCGCAGGTCTCCAGGACAGACCCCGGCTCGGAAGGGCTCTGCGGCCTTGGGCGCCTTGGAGGCCGGGCGCGTCCTTTTCCGACCTAAGGACCCCGCCCCTTGCACGCAGCCTCGGTAGCCAGCCGGGATCGGCGTCCCAGGCTCCAAATGACGTCTCTTGCTACATTTCAGCAAAGCAGCCGCTCACCTTCTCCCCAGAGGGCCTCTGTGCGGCCTGAACCTGCCCGCTCGCTCCAAGTCCCGGAGCAATTGCTGGGACGCATCTCAGAGCCTGCGCGGGGCGGAGGAGGGGCATGGGCCACGAACTTTCTTTTCTTGGAAACTTTCTTCCAGTGCAAACCGGAGGCAGCTCCTCTCACCCTGGTGGAAAAGGATCCGGTGGGGCGGGGCAGGGTGGGGGGGAACAACGCGGGGCGGGGGCGGCACGCCACCCTCCCGCCCTTTGTTTTGCTATTCCTTCTCCGTCCTCCATTGACCAGACAGGAAAGGAATCCTTTGAATTTTTTTCAAGTTCGTGAGATATCCATTTAGCATGTACTGTGTGCCAGGCATAACTGTTCGTATACTTGGGGTCAACGCATCAGATGAAAACATGCCTCCCGGAGCTTGCAATTTCGCGGAGGAGGCGGTGAGGGTAAGCGTGAGGTGATGGCGCGGTGTTGGAGGGTTTCCCCGGTGGGCAGAGGGCGCCAGGAGGCGGGTGGTCGCGCAGGACTGGGGAGGCTGCTGGAGGCGCAGCCGCGGAAGGCCCAGAGGGCAGAGACACGGGTCTGAGGTCAGCAGAGGGGACCTGGAGCTGGCGGGTAGAAAGGAGCGCGGTCGGGGCAGGCAGAAGGAGGGCTCAGAAAGACTGGACCTTGTTTTGAGTTTCTGGGGGAACCTTCGTCTTGTTTTCTGTGACGGCCGCACCAGTTTTCATCCCCCGCAGCAGTGTGCGAAGGTCCCTTTGTCCACATCATCACCAACACTTGCTATCTCTTCTCTTTTTGATATGAGCCATTCTAACAGCTGTTTGCAGACGCTTCATTCTGATCCTGATTTGCATTTTCCTGTCTTTTTCTTTTTGCATCAGGGCCCCGCTCTGTGGTCGAGGCTGGAGTGCAGTGGTGCAATCTCGGCTCACTGCCCCCTAGACTTCCCGGGCTCAAGGATACTTGCGCGTCAGCCCCTGGAGTAGGTGAGACCACAGGCATCACCACGCCCGGCTGATTTTTAAAATTTTTCTTGTAGAGAGGGATTCTCCCTGTGCTGCCAGGCTGGTCTCCAACACCTGGGTTCCAGCAGTCCTCCCACCTCAGCCTCCGATTACAGGCGGGAGCCACCGCTGGCCTTTCCCTATTAGTAATGGTGACCACCTGTTCACACACCTGTTGGCCATATGTATGTTTTCTTGGCAGAAATGCCTATTTAGGTCCTTTGTCTATTTTTATTTATTTATTTTTTTTAATTTTTATTTCTATTTATTTATTTATTTTTTTGAGACGGAGTTTCACTCTTGTTACCCAGGCTGGAGTGCAATGGCGCAATCTCGGCTCACGGCAACCTCCGCCTCCTGGGTTCAGGCAATTCTCCTGCCTCAGCCTCCTGAGTAGCTGGGACTACAGGCACGCGCCACCATGCCCAGCTAATTTTTTGTATTTTTAGTAGAGACGGGATTTCACCATGTTGACCAGGATGGTCTCGATCTCTTGACCTCGTGATCCACCCACCTCGGCCTCCCAAAGTGCTGGGATTACAGGCTTGAGCCACCGCACCCGGCCTGTCTATTTTTAGTTAGGTTATTTGGTTCTTGTTTTGGTTTTCGTTTTTTGCTATTAAATTGTAGGAGCTCTTTATATATTTTGGGTATTAAGCCCTTACAAAATGTACAGTTTGCAAACGTTTTCAGCCACCCATAGGTTGCCTTTTAATTTTGTTGATTCAGCCATCTCACTTCTGAGTATTTGCCAAAGGAAATAAAATCGCTGTCATCAAGAGAGAGTTGCATGCCCATCTTCATTACAGCACTATTCACAATAGCTGAGATACAGAAACAACCTCAATGTCCATCAGTGAATGAATAAAGAAAATGTGGTATAGATATTGTCACATGCTATACTGTACTATAATAATGAAAATTATCCAGCTATAAAAAAGAAGGAAATCATTGTCAGTTGCAACAACATGGAATCCGGAGGACATTATGCTAAGTGAAATAAGCTAGGCACAGAAAGACATAATACTGCATGAGCCAACTTATATGTGGAATCTAAAAAAGTCAAATCATAGACACAGAGGGTGGAATGATGGTTACCAGGGGCCGGGTGACAAGGGGATGAGGAGATCTCGGTCAAAGAGTACAAAGCTTCAGCCACAAGACAAATAGTTCTAGAGACCTGGAGCACAGCATGGAGACTCTAGTCAATAATATATCATGAAATTTACTTAGTAGATCTTGCGTGTTGTCACCACACGCACACATGTAACCGTGTGAGATGATGGGTGTTAATTGACTCGACCGTGGTAGTCATTTCACCACGACATGTACCAAGACATCACGCTGGGCACCTTGAATATGTGCAAGCTTTATTTGTGGATCATACCATCAGAGGCATTTAAGCTAGAGCAACTCCATCTCGAAGCCAGGGGCTGGGTAAAATAAGGCTGAGACCTGCTGGGCTGCATTCTCAGGAGGTGAGGCATTCTAAGTCACAGGATGAGATAGGAGGTCGGTGCAAAATACAGGTCACAAAGACCTTGCTGATGAACCAGCACATGGTAGAGAAGCCGGCCAAATCACACCAAAACCAAGACGGCCACTAATGTGACTTCTGGTCATCCTCACCACTCATTCTAATTATAATGCATTAATTATCATTAATTATAATTAAAAGACACTCCTACCAGTGTCATAACAATTTACAAATGTTATGGAAACATCAGGAAGTTACCCTATATGGACTATAAAGGGGAGGAACCCTCAGTCCCAAGAATTGCTCACCCCTTTCCTGGGAAACTCATGAATAATCCACCCCTTGAATCAAGAAATGACCATAAACATGGCCAGCCGGTAGCCCTCAGGGCTGCTCTGCCTCTGGAGTAGCCATTCTGTTATTCTTTCACTTTCTTCCTTTTTTTCTTTTAATGGTGAAAAGATAGACATATCTTTAGAATTAGCCAGCTGGACTCCGTTCAGATGATCCCGATTTTGTTGGCGAAATCCAGAGCATGGGAATGAGGAGCCAGCGGAACATGTGCCTTTTCTCTCCGTCAGGCTGATCAGGTGTTGACCTCGGCCACGTCAGTGCCACATCAGAGCTTCTTCACAGCCTGTGGATTTGGGGCTCGTTGGCTTTAATGTCCACAGTGAACACAAGTGTGTTGTCTTCCATCTTCTTCAGGGCAGACTCGGTGGTCAGCGGAAACTTGATGGTGAGAGCGCCGCGGTCAGGCTGGCTTCTCCTGGGCGCCCTGCCAAGGATGCTTGTGCTGCCTCTGGGCTCGCGGCGTCCTGGGCTTGGAAGGTGGGTGACAGCGGATCCTGTTTTTTTGTGGCCGTGGATGCCTCAACACTGCCTTCTGGGCCTTCAAAGCCTTCGCTTTGGCTCCGGCTTAGGAGGGACAGGAGCGTCCTTCTGCACTTACGGTGCCATCTTGTGAAAAGCTCCTTTACTTTCTTTAAAAAAAAAACTTGCTTTCACTTTATGGATTCACCCTGAATTCTTTCTTGCGTGAGATCCAAGAACCCTCTCTCGGTGTCTGGATCGAGACCCTTTCTGGTAACAGCACCTCAATAAAGCTGGGAAAAAATAAAAATAGACCAATAAAGCATTCTCAACAGCAAAGAGGGTGGGGCTTTCCCTGTGCAACCTCTGGGGGATTTCCAAGAAGCAAGGGCTTTGAGACTGTGCAGGTAAAGCTCCTGGGGTTGGAAATGTGACAGTTTTATAACTGCGATGATAGGGCTCAGGCCTGTAATTGGGAGGCCAAGGCCGGAGGAATGCATGAGCAGGGATGTTTGAGCCTAGCCTGGGCAATATGTCGAAACCCCTGTCTCTACAAAAAATACAAAAAACTAGCCGGGTTTAGGGAGCCTGCCTATAGTCCCAGCTACTCAGGAGGCTGAGGTGGGAGGATCCCTTGAGGTCGAGGCCGCAGTGAGCTGTGATTGTTGCCACTGCACTGCACACCAGCCTGGGCCACAGAATGAGACCCTGTCTCAAACAAAAAAAAAGAGAGTATGACAATGGTAAGTCTGTCATGCACAAGCATGCTGCCCCGCACGCCGCAGGGACGGCCCTGCTGGTGGCACTGGTCGGCTGTGCAGGTGTCCTTGGAATGCAGCCAGGCAGGGTTTCTCCTGCCCTCCCAGAGGACAGTCACCCACTCAGTGCCACAAAGGAGGAAAAGTGGTGATTGGATGGAAGGCAGTGTGTCCAGGCTCCCTGCCTTGGGGTCGCCTCCAACAGCTTCTGTGCCCGGGGGCCTCCTGAAAAACCACCTTGAGGCTACAGGTTTTGGCATGGAAGGGCTCACAGACAATTTTAGAGTAAGCTTGTCACACCTACCCTAGGTAAGTCAACTTACCCCTCTCCCCTCCCCGATCCTGGGTGCAGGTGTCCATAGGTGTTGCCTCTGTCTGCTGTCAAACTTTTCCCAGGATAAAGTCCTGCTTACGAAGACCAGGGCTCAGGGGTGAGCAGGAGCGCTGGGGCAATGGCACGTAGGTGTGGCTACTGGGGCACAGGCTGTCCTGGCCATGCCGCAGAGAAAGGTGGGCCGGAATGGTGATCCCAGCGGGAGAGCCTCAAGTGCGCCAGGCCTGTTTATGTACCCTGAATATTCAGTGCCTACTGCATACTTAGTGCTGTCCTGAATATTCAGTGCCTACTGTATACTTAGTGTTGTCCTGAATGTTTAGTGCCTCTTGCACATCTAGCCATCCTAGATACCTAAAGCCTCATGTTTACCTTAATATTTAGTGCCTCTTATGTACTTACGGATCATTAACATCTAACATGTACTGCATCTGGTATATTTATTGGTCATAAGTATTCGGTGCCTCTCATAAATTTAGCCACCCTGAATATGTAGTGCCTCTTGTATACCTAGTCACCATGACTATTTCATATTTAGTGCACTCTGTATACCTAGTGATCATGAACACTTAGCGCCTCTCATATACTTACCAGTCCCGGATTTTCAGTGTTTCTAGTGATCCTGAATATTTCATGATCATTAGTATTTAGTTCCTCCTGTGTGTTTAGTGAACCTGGACATTTAGTGTCTCTGGTGTATTTTATGACTATGAGTACTTAGTGCCTTTCTGTTGTATAGTTAGTGATCCTGCTACTAAGCCACACTTGTCTACTTGGCAACCATCAGTGTTTAGTGCCCTGAGGCCTTCTGTTTACTCATCACCTCCTGCATATTCAGTGTGTTGGTCCTGCCACCGCCTCTGCCTTTAAGACCCAGAAGCTCTGCTTACGACTTACCTCTGGATCTTGTACTCCAGCCTCCAGAGCTGCGAGCCCTAAACCCTATTGTCTATAATTTTTGCAGGCTGTGGTGTGTTGTTACAGCAGCCTGCATGGACGCTTGTCTATTTTACTTGCGTGACCAGAGAAGGATGGAGCCCATTCCTGGCTGGGGATGACTGGGAGAAGTCTGTGTTTGGGTGGCACTAGGGCATGGAGAACCTTCTGTGGATTCTCGAGGGGCTGAGGCCACAGCCCACTGGGCAACAAAGGCTGCCTGGGGCCCAAGGGCAGCTTCAGGGTCTGGAAGCCAGGTGGTGCCATGGACTTGGGAGTCCCCAGCCATCTGCACAGAAGCAGCTGCCACAGGCGGCAGTGGGACAGACATGGCCAGCATCCCACTGCGGCTGACACTTGGTGAGAGGCCCACAGGAAACTAGAGACTCTTCCAGGCAGGCTCAAGGCCGACTCTGGCAATCAGAGTCAGGCCCCTGTGGGATGGGATAACAGACAGGGATGACGAGGACGAGTTTGGCACAGTCCACACTGGACATGGGTCAGAGCAGGTGCCCCAACTTGTTTCCCTGAAGGACAGACATCAAACGCTTCAATGCAGCATCTCGGGAGAGGAAGAAATTGCAGGGAGGAGGGGGTTAGGCTTTTTTGTTTTGTTTTTTTAATTGGGAGACAAGCATTTTGGCATTGACCATGTGGTAACTGACCAGCTGGGGATGGCGAGAGACCCGTGGCCGGCAGAGAGGACAAGGGGGACGCGAGACAGAGCCGAGCTGAGAGTTCTGCAAAACTGCAAGCTCTCGGGAGCTGTGGTGGCTCAGGTCAGTTGTACTGGTGCTTGAGGATGTGAGGCTATGTGTTCGAGGCCAGCCTGGGCAACATAAGAACCTCTCACTCATTAAAAAAATAAAATTTAAAAACTGCAAGCTTACTCCTCAGGCTGGCTTCAGCTGCACTCTTCCTCTGGGACATTTCTCTTCTTCCTCCATAAAGTGCCTGCCCATAGGGATGTGTGAAGTGTGACCAAGAAACTTCCACCGAAGGTGGGTGCATGTTGGGGATGCAGTGGGCAGGGAAAGGTCCCGATGCATCCACAGGACAGAAGCCTTGCAGAGATGAGCTGCCCACAGCCACCAAGAGGACCCTCTTCTCTCCATGAGGTCCCCGTGTGTCAGCTGCCACCACACCAAGGGCAGTCCTTGCCCCCCTCTTCATACCTGGGGTAGGCCAGTGGCCTCCTGGAAAGCACCAGGATGGGCCTCTCTCCTCCTGGGCATCTGGGACCCCAGGTTTTCTTGCCTTTCCTTTTTTGTTCTCCTGGTTACGGTAGTGATTTGGTACATTCATATATTAGGTTCTGATTTAAAAAAAAAATTGAGCGGTGAAATTCACATGACACACAATGCACCACTTTAAAGTACACAATTCAGGTGCATTTAGTGTATTCACAATGTGGTGCAGTTACCACCTGTCTAGTTCCAGAACATCCTCATCACCCCTAAAGGAACTCCTGTCTCAGACAGACAGACACTCCCTCCCTCCAGCCCCTGGCAGCCAAGTCTGCCTTCAGGATCCATGGATTTGCCTGTTCGGGACATTTCCTAGCAATGGATTCAGACACTCTATGGCCTTTGTGTCTGGCTTCACTAAGCATGTTGTCAGGGTCCACCCCTGTAGTAGCATGTCAGTGCTTCGTTCCTTTTCAATGACTGAATATTTCACTGTAACTGGATAGACCCCAATATGCTTATGCATTCTGCAGGTGATGGACATTTGGGTTGTTTCCACCTTCTGTATTTCATGAATAATGCTACCATGAGCATTTGTGTACACATTTGTGAACAAATGTATATTTTCATATATTTTCTCTTGGGCATATGTACCTAGGACAGGGATTGCAGGGCAATAAGGTGATAATATCTTTATGCAAGAGTCTAATGAAGCTGGGTGCTTCACTACAGGCTCATGCCTCTAATGCCAGCACTTTGGGAGGCCAAAGCAGGTGGATCACCTGAAGTTAGGAGTTCAAGACCAGCCTGACCAACAAGGTGAAACCCCGTCTCTACTAAAAATACAAAAATTAGCTGGGCACGGTCACGTGCGCCTGTAATCCCAGCTACTCAGGAGGCTGAGGCAGGAGAATCGCTTGAACCCGGGAGGCAGAAGTTGCAGTGAACCAAGATCACCCCACTGTATTCCACAGCCTGGGACACAGGGCAAGGCTTTGTCTTAAAAAAAAAAAAAAAAAAAAAAAAATCTAATGAGCTTTCTCTTACAGAAGCAGGCAGCACTGGGTAATTTACATTTCTTAATCAGATAACCTGATAGAGGACCAGAGCTGTCCACCAGAACTTTCTGTGATGCTGGAAATATTCTGTATCTGTGCTAACATGGTATCTACTGGCCACATGTGGTTAGGACAACTGAGCAACTACATCTTTGTATTAAATTTGAATTTTCTGAAAATTAAATAGCCTGTGTGGCTCGTTACTGTGTGTGGAAGAGCATAGCCTGAGATGACAAATGGAGTGCTACCCCAAAGTGGCCCTCCCACCATGCTGCCTCCGGCTTCACAGCCGATTTGAGCACCTTTTACAAAACCCGGAAATCCACGGTGATACTTGAAACACCTAAGCCCCCAGCCCCTGCAAAAATACCACCAAAGGGTATTTGAAGAGATATAGTGACCTACATAAATACATAAAGACAAAATCCAGCTAAAAATGAATGCTTCCACAAGAAAAACAATAAAAAGATCTCTGAAGGCTACACCCTCTCCTGGCCGGTCCTTGCAGTTTTGCTTTACTGAAATGGTGCCCCCGCATGACATATAGTTTGCGAATACTGTGCTGTTTAGATCCACACTGTCGGAGCAGCTGCTTACCAATTTTTGGTTCAAATAATTTCATAGCACTGGGATATTTTCTAAAGAAGCAGATTTGTGGTTAGCTGGTACCCAGGAAGCCTGGGCTTGAGTAGATTCAATTTTAGTAGGGTAAATATAAATTATATAATATTCCTGAATCATTTTACTGGCCTGTATTACAATAAACACATAATAATTGCTAATGGCCCTGATCTGATAATAAATGTATCAAAATATCACTACATACCCCACATAATATACAATCGCTGTGTGTCAATAAACTAAGTATTATCACATTGGGGATTAAAGAAAAAATAAAGTAGGAATCATCCATATTTTGAGAAATACATTCATGAAAATAACAGAAGAGTAACACTTTCTGAGCTGATTTTGTGGCAGACATTTTTTAAGGATTATCATGGATTCAATCAATGAACCCCTCTCCTCTAGGACAGCCATTTCAGTTAATTTGCCTGGAGGTCTCCAACGCTCTTAAACCCTCCTTTTTATAAGGAAATGTGTCACCTTCCTAAAGTCCCATGTATCATTCCTCTTGTTCTAAGGATACTCATTTTACATTTTCTTACAAACTTAGTTTTTCTTTTCAAAAATCAGTGTACAAATTATTTTGTTCTCTGATTTTAGCAATCGATTTAAGGGATATTTGATTAATGTTTGACCAACCTAAATTGAACAAATTCCTTTAATTATCCTATTCAAAATTAAGTTCTTAAAAGGTTTACACCTTTCAGCATCTTCTACTTTTTTTTTTTTAAGTACTGAACCTTTCCCATGACCTTTAAAATTCCCAGCCAAATAAATTAAATCATAACTCCGGTGGAGCTCACATTCTGTTAAGAGTTGGCAATTGAAAGAGAAATCTATAAACTTACCCATCAGAATTAAACTGCAAATTACTTACAGATTATAAGTAACTTTTAATATTAGATAAATCAATAAGAAAATGCATTCTGTATTGGACAACCACACGGGATCTTTGCCGGAGACAAGAGAACTTGTCCCTAGTAATTATGAAGACACCTCTATGGTGAGCGTATTAAAACCCCACTAGGTTTTGGGTGGGACTGAAGAGCAAGGGGTGGCCACCTGTGGGCAAGGGTTTCCTGCCGTTAACGGAACACGTTGCCCACCTCGAGAGTATGCAGCCCAATCAGTCCCCAGGGTCTCGGTTGCGCCTTTCCCCATGGCCAGCTCGCTCATTCTTGAGCCGAAGGTGACCAGGCCTCCGGCCTCTAAGAACTGCAGGCTCAGTGCGGCTCTTTTCACGAAACGATGGGTGGCTCTGAAAAGAGCCTTTAGCGTCCATCAAAGGGTCCCGGGGGGCGGCGGGCGGCCTCACTTGCCCTTGGCCTTGTGGTGGCTCTCCGTCTTCTTGGGCAGCAGCACGGCCTGGATGTTGGGGAGGACACCGCCCTGCGCGATGGTCACGCGGCCCAGCAGCTTGTTGAGCTCCTCGTCGTTGCGGATGGCCAGCTGCAGGTGGCGCGGGATGATGCGCGTCTTCTTGTTATCGCGCGCCGCGTTGCCAGCCAGCTCCAGGATCTCGGCGGTCAGGTACTCCAGCACCGCGGCCAGATAGACCGGGGCGCCGGCGCCCACGCGCTCGGAATAGTTGCCCTTGCGGAGCAACCGGTGCACGCGGCCCACAGGGAACTGCAGCCCCGCGCGCGACGAGCGCGACTTGGCCTTGGCACGCGCCTTGCCGCCCTGCTTACCGCGGCCAGACATGTCCGATTCAAAGTCAGAAGACAACAAGGACGGAAAAGCGAGACTGAAAACAGGAGGGCGGCGAAGCCCAGCGACCCCTTATGTATGGTACGGAGGTAGGCTAGACCGCGGCGTTCGATTGGATGGCTATGGCAGCCAATCAAATAAAGAACTGGACACTCCTAATTTGCATATTCCTTTCCCAGAGGTGACGTATCAACGTTTGAGCCAATCAGAAGTGAGCAAATCCTGAGCCTTCATTTGAATACAAAACGTACAAATAGAGTTACTCGGAGCGCTGCGTGTTTCTGTTCGGAGAGACACAGCCACCATGCCAGACCCCTCCAAGTCGGCTCCTGCGCCCAAGAAGGGCTCCAAAAAGGCCGTCACCAAGGCGCAGAAGAAGGACGGCAAGAAGCGCAAGCGCGGCCGCAAGGAGAGCTACTCCATCTACGTCTACAAGGTGCTGAAACAGGTGCATCCCGACACCGGCATCTCGTCCAAGGCCATGGGCATCATGAACTCCTTCGTCAATGACATCTTCGAGCGCATCGCCAGCGAGGCCTCCCGCCTGGCGCACTACAACAAGCGCTCCACCATCACGTCCCGCGAGGTGCAGACGGCCGTGCGCCTGCTGCTGCCCGGTGAGCTGGCCAAGCACGCCGTGTCTGAGGGCACGAAGGCCGTCACCAAGTACACCAGCTCCAAGTGAGGCGCGCCCCGGCGCCCCGAACCCAAAGGCTCTTTTCAGAGCCACCCACGAGATCGAGAAAGGGTTTTGAACACGGTTAAAGGTTATGTAACCTAATATATCTCCATGCACCCCAGGCGGTTGCCGGGTGCGGCCCGGTCTGAGTCGAGTGTGCGTGTGTGTGTGTGTGTGTGTGTGTGTGTGTTTGTGCGCGCGCGCACGCTGGTAGAGAACGAGAAAAACTGCTCGTTGCAGAAATCTGTGGTAGAAACCGTGCTCAGATGATTTAACTCAGTAATGTTGGGAGGCGATCAGGGACCCCATCTCCACCCCCGCATTCGCGCAAAGCTATTAAAACTACGAATCGAAGTAGGACTCTAGTTCCAAATGTCTTTTATAAGCAAGTGATGCATTTCTGGGTGTTGAATGCTTGTGCCGGATTCAAGGCCGGGTAGAACTGAGCTTGACGTGCGCCGTGCAGGTGAGGGATGCAGGTCACCTCTCCCAAAAGGACCCGTGCCAACCTCCCCATTCCTACCCGCACCCCATGAGGTGAGGCCGGACGTGGCGCAAGACCGCTGGCTCTGAGGCCATCAGTGTTGTCACGTTCCCCTGGCGGTGGTGCCTGGCCCTGCGTTCGCTTAAGACATTTCTATCCCTGCCTGGACCAGACAGACATGTTTAGATTTAAGCGATGAGCATTCCAGGAGGATGTTTTCCTGGCAGGATACTGCGATGGCAGGGTGTTTGATACCGAATCGAAACACGGCGACAAAGCAGCGCCCTGCGCGCGGGAGCCGGATGTGATAAGCGACCCCAGCTTATGGGAGTGGGGGTGGGGAAAGGGATTAATTTAGGAGGAAAAGAATTCCCTTTTTCCGAGCAAATGTAGCTACCTCCCTCTTCAGCCACATTCTTTCCTAAGAAGTATTAACAACACAGAATTTCTTTCTCTCGCCTCCAAATTCATGGCATTCACTTGGGGAGTGCCATTTTGGCGCAGGAAAGCTCTTTGGCACGAAAAGTGTTCGCTCTGGAAAGGGCATCGTTTACCTTTTCCTGACTTGTCTTCTTGTGTAGGAGAACGAGATTTCTAGTAATTGCTTTCTCAAACCGTTGTGAAAATTAGAAGTATTGAGTGTTTGTGTCACCATTTCCAGTAGGGAATAAAAATTCAATTAAGTTAAATGAGAATTTTTTAATAAAATTCAATGAAAAATGATTTTTCCTCCCAAGCCATCTTTCCAAATGGAACCTGTCGCGTGCCTGGGATCGGGAAGGAAACGTCGCCGCGAACATCCTCGACCAGAACGGCTTTGTCCCTGCCCACCACCTTTTTTCCTGCATGGGTCCTCTAAAAGAATCTTTGAGAACCTCGCATATTTTACAGCTATCTAAAATATTTTTATTTTCAGTTAAAATAGTTGCAAAGATTCAAATCCCAATATAGGACTTTTTAAAAATCAAAATCCTCACATCATTCTTTTAAAGTTGCCTTCTGGAATATCAATATGATAGTATAATCAGTTCATAAAATACATGACCAAATTTTTCGACAGTGCGATGTCTCAGATGATTTTTTTCTTCCTGAATGCCTATTTGCATTCCCCATTTGCCTTGCAATTTCACCATACCATAATTTATCTATTGCATGTTTAATAGCGTTTTGTCATCCTTCTCTGCAAAAAAAGTCTACATTTGAAATTTAAACATACCTTTGGGGAGTCTCTCAGTGTTTAAGAAAAATCATCTCAACAGTACACAATTGTTCAAAACAGAAATGGTTTGGTACATTATTATCAAACAGATAAACTTAGTGAAACTATTTTAATGCGCCCACCTTCTTTTCCTCCACTTTCCTTTCCGTCTCAATGTGCTGTGTTCATATGGTTACAACGTTAGCAGGGATGGATCATTTTCATATGACTACAATGCTAGCAGTGCACAGGATCATTTCCATTCTGTTTCCTTTTGATATATACTCCAAGAAATAGTTACAAAAAATACATAAGAATGGTAATTTTGTCATAGGCATTTTATTCAATTCTTTGCATCCCTAGTTATAATCCAAATATTAAACAGTGATCCGTCATCAAAAGCGGGACTTGTCAACACCCTTAGTACTTTCAAGAAATCTAGGATTTGTATGAAAAGCTGTTGAATCCAGTCCTCTCCACTATGAAACAGATGCCCAATGACTGGAACATCCAAGTCCTCAGCCTCCCACCAGCATAGATTGGAAGTCAATACCTTAAACATTTGCAGTTGTGAAACTGCTCTCACAGACCCATGTAGTCCTGCACCTTAATGAACTCAAAACACAGGTTCAATAAAGTGAAGCCAGTCTCCAGCAGAAAGAGTGAGTGACTGTGTTAGCACCGGGCAACAGCACTGGTTAGTGCCAGAGATCGAGGCACAAGACGAACATTTCATGACCATTTCCAAGTGTAATTCTCTAAGAAGGCATTTTGTGGTGAATAATGGCAAATGTCAGTCAATTCATGTCTCAGTCCTTCTGATTCCCTTGGCACAAGTTTGAAGTAAAAACAGGCTGTCTGTCTCTTCCTGCGGCATTAGCACCCCCAGGCCAAGAATGGATGGGATTTGTCCCTCTCTCCTAGTACAGGAATCTGTTAAGGGAGAGACAAAGACGGTAAAACAGGATCCCTGCTTCTGAGATTTTATAATGGAGAAAATTCAGAGCAATTGTGTCCAGAATCCATTTCTCTAATGATAGTGTTGCAACAGAGAAAAACAAATGTTAATGAAAAATGAAGGCAGTGCACATCAAATATGTGAGAATCCACAGAGTCTAAGGGAATTGGTACGCACGCAACAAAACGGAAGCATTTTCTGGGTTGGAGAGACACGCCAAGATTCTCAAACTAAGCCAAATTTCTAAACTCAAATCACCTATCTGACATGAGTGAGCGACAATCACTTAAATACATTTCAGACTGTGTGTCTACAAAATCCATCCAGACTGGCATACAATCTGAAATGTATTTAAGACATTGCCCCTCACCCAACTCAGACGGAAATCTAAAGTCAGATTTGTTAAGTATGCAGTCAATAAAATAATTGGGAGGGAATCACCTCCAGTTAAAGTGACTTTTATTAAAAAAACAAAAAATAACAAATGTTGGTGAGAACGCAGGGAACGGGGATGCTTATATACTGCTGGTGAGAATGTAAATCAGTATAGCTACTATAGAGAAAAGTATGGGCGTTCTTAAAAAAACTAAAAACAGACTTACCATATGGTCCAGCAACCCCACTGCTGGGTATATACCCACAAGAAAGGAAATGAGCATATCAAAGAGATGTCTCCCGTCTCACGTTCATTGCAGCACTATTTACAATAGCCAAGATAATGGAGTCAACCTGAGTGCCCATCAGTAGATAAGTGGATAAAGAAAATGTGGTATATTTATGCAGTAGAATACTAATGGCCATAAAAAATAATGAAATCCTGTCACTAGCAGGAATGTGGATGGAACTGTAGGATATTATGTTAAGTGAAACAAACCACACGCAGAAAGACAAATACTGCATGATCTCACGCATAAGCGGAGCTAAGAACAGGCATCTCATGGAGGTAGCAAGTTGACTGCTAGTTACCAGGAGCTGGGAAGAGTGTGGGGAAAGGACGAGATGAAGTTGGTTAATGGATACAAAAATACACTTAGAAGGAATAATAAGGTCTAGTGTTGGCTTGAACAGTAGTAGGGTGACTGTAGTTAACGATAATTACTTGTATTGCTGGAGGAGAGGAATTGGAATGATGTCGACCTAAAGAGGGGGTGAATGTGATGATGGATGTCCCAATTGCCCTGGTTTGGTTGATATATGTATGCATATATCAAAATATATGTATCCCCAAAATATGTACAACTATTATGTATTAATAATAAAAAAGGTTATCGCTCTAATAAAGTGCCCCAAAAAATAAAGCCTACTTACAAAAAATAATGTGGAGGAAAGAAAACTCCCTTTAAGAAGACATTCCTGGCCGGGCGCGGTGGCTCAAGCCTGTAATCCCAGCACTTTGGGAGGCCGAGGCGGGTGGATCACGAGGTCAGGAGTTCAAGACCAGTCTGGCCAATATGGTGAAACCCCCTCTCTACTAAAAATACAAAAATTAGCTGGGCATCGTGGGGCACATCTATAGTCCCAGCTACTCAGGAGGCTGAGGCAGAAGAATCACCTGAACCCAGAAGGCAGAGGTTGCAGCCAGCCGAGATCGTGCCACTGCACTCCAGCCTGGGCAATAGAGTGAGACTCCAACTCAAAAAAAAAAAAAAAAAAACTAACTCAGGAAAATGGATATGCTTTATGAGACCATAGAGGTTAAACGCTGACAAATGTGTGACTGTCACTGGGTGAGGAGTGTGCAGTGGGAACTGAGCCTGGAATTCGAATTCCAATCCCAGGCAACATTTCTGTTCTTAGAGGGTGGGTGGCTACCAGGTATTCATGTTGGGGTGACACCGGTATGGGGTATTTTTAGGGAGAGGACAGCCTGAGCCCCGGTCAGGCCAGCATGCCTTAAATTTTTACTTAAATGTGTCATGCAGAGATCATACCTATTTTGCCTTGATTTGCTGGAATTTTTTTTTAAAAAGCACTGTATTTGCATTATTCAAAATAATCTTCTATTGTTTACTACGCGTACACACACATACACACACATTTTTGGAATAAAATATCTGAATCCTTTAATTGGGGAGATTCTAGCTGAGTGATAAGGTAATCTGTGCGCCTGCTGTTTTTATGTTTCAAGCAGGAAGGCGTGGCATAAAAAGCTACTTAGGCGCAACGCTGCTGAAATGGTTTTTGCTAGAAGCTCACGGAGTCTAGTTGTGGCTGAGGGAGGAGAGGGGCGGGAGGACAGCCCCAAGCGCGTGCGCCCGGACTGCGCGAAAACCTCCCCACCCCCATCCCCGGACCTCAATGAGCACGTCCTCCACCCTCAGCCGCCAGGAGGCACTGGCGGCGAGGAAGTGGCACAAGATCTTCCTGGAGGTGACCCATGCTCCTCACGCGCAGGGCGTACGCCGCACGCATGTCTTTGGATGGGATCCATGGCGCGATCGCCTGTGCTGCGCCCTCTCCGACTTTGTTTGTGGCAAAGACAAGTCGAACGCAGCAAACATTTCTAAGGAAAATGTGCCATTAGAACAAGAAGCCTAGCTTTATTTCTAGGACTTGCGTCCCCACCGGGCACTCTACCTTCCGCCCCTCACCCCAACTGGATCACGGGTCACAACCAGACCAGGTGGCACGCTCCTTTTTGAGCTTGGAGGTGGCTCTGAAAAGAGCCTTTGGGTTCGGGGCGCCGGGGCGCGCCTCACTTGGAGCTGGTGTACTTGGTGACGGCCTTCGTGCCCTCAGACACGGCGTGCTTGGCCAGCTCACCGGGCAGCAGCAGGCGCACGGCCGTCTGCACCTCGCGGGACGTGATGGTGGAGCGCTTGTTGTAGTGCGCCAGGCGGGAGGCCTCGCTGGCGATGCGCTCGAAGATGTCATTGACGAAGGAGTTCATGATGCCCATGGCCTTGGACGAGATGCCGGTGTCGGGATGCACCTGCTTCAGCACCTTGTAGACGTAGATGGAGTAGCTCTCCTTGCGGCCGCGCTTGCGCTTCTTGCCGTCCTTCTTCTGCGCCTTGGTGATGGCCTTCTTGGAGCCCTTTTTTGGAGCCGGAGCCGCCCGCGATGGCTCCGGCATGGCGAGGTGGCGAGGGCGCCTAGACGATCGCGGACGCGGGGAGGGCAGGGCTATTTGCCATCTTTGTATTCAAATGAAGGCTCCAAATCTGTAGAGTCTGATTGGACGGCCTGACGGCACAGCCGCCACTGGGAGGAATTTATGTAAATAGGAGAGGCCGGTTCTTTTTTCCTATTGGACGGGGGTGCAACCAATCGCAAGGCACAGCCGCCGCCCGCCGGAGCTGAGGTTGCGCATCTTTGTTCAAAGTCTTTGTTTTACACCTGGAGGTGTTGGTGTCCGCAGCGGATCTGGACGTAGCTAAAAAGGAGCTGAAAAGCGGTTGTAACCCCAAATCTCGGTCTTATTTGGCTGTGAGGCACACACGTGAGGGCATTTTATTCTGAGGCCCACAGCTAGAGAGGCCAGTGCTTATTTAGAAGGGGAGATGGGGGTGGGAACGGCATTTTGCAACGACCGTAACCGTTTATTTCTTTACCTTCCCCACAGTCCAAAGGTCAAAGAGATGCATTCCTCTCAGAATTCCATTGTAAATCCAAACGGTTCGTTGGGAAATACGGAAAATAGTATAGAAAACATGCTAAGGGTACGTCAGTTGGAATCGTAGTCACGGGGCAGATTTTTAACTGGAGAAAGATATTGAAGGGTTTCAGATGAAACCTGGTCCTTCCTCTTGTTAAGATCCCTCCAAGCCCGTTTGAAGTGACAGCCGTAATCCGAAGGGTGATCTCATTTGTCTCGCAGTATCCCTGAGAGCTGGGTACTGCGGTGGCTTCCTGACGGCCCTGTCTCCGACACTGTGTTATATTAACGCATTGGGAGTTACAGTCACTTCCAATGAAGAAATGTAAGATGTTGTGTATTTCAGCTTCGACTGAAGAGCTGGTTAAAAAAGCAGAATCTCAGTCCCACTCAAATCGGACCGAGTCAGAATTTGCATTTTAAAACGAGTTGTGTGCACTTTACAATTTGAGAAGCCCTGGTCATCTGCCCTAGCTGGGGCGATAATTTACCTCTCCACACCTCCATACACTCATCTGTGAAATGGGGCTGTCAGTGCCTACCTGATAGCGTTGCTGAGCTTTAATGAGTGTGAAGCAGCAGGCAGGGTGCCCAGCATCTATTTTGTGCTTAATTCCAGTTAGTGTCTTTCCTTCTTAGGACTGATCCAGCCATAAGCAACTTGGGTTACCTCAGCAGAGCTTGCTCTGACCCGGGCAGATCCATCACATAAATATGTAGCACGAACCTGTCTCCCACCAGCATGCTGTCTAAGCTTAATTCACAGGGAAGGATGTGGCTTTCAGGTCTGAGTCTCCAGGGCACAGAGTGTGGGCTCAGCAGGGGCCCAGCCAGTACTTGTCTCCTTGAAAAGCCTGTGAGCTGAGGCAGTGGCCTCCCTCCACATTCAAGTCTGTCCTCTGAGGTCTGGGCATCTTGAGACTGTGGGTTCCGGGAGTGACTTTGGGCGTACCCAGCATTGGCACTTTATCTGTTTCCTTTTAAAATACATGGTAGATTTAACAAGCATTTCTAGAGTGCTCACTAGGAGCTGACTAGGTAACCACTTAATAAGTACCTAATTCAATTTCGTTCTCAAACAGCCCTTTGACAAAACTTCTCTGCTTGGCCAAACTCTGGTCAGGCTCCAGAACCTTCTCCTAGGTCCATCTGTGCACTTTCTTGTGAAATCCAGTTTTAGGGCCGGGCACAGTGGCTCACACCTGTAATCCCAACACTTTGGGAGGCCGAGGCGGGTGGATCATGAGGTCAGGAGGTGGAGACCATCCTGGCCAACATGGTGAAACCCCATCTCTACTAAAACTACAAAAATTAGCTGGGTGTGGTGGTGTGCGCCTGTAGTCCCAGCTACTGGGGAGGCAGAGACAGGAGAATCACTGGAACTGGGGAGTCGGGGGTTGCAGAGAGCTGAGATCGCCTTATTGCACTCCAGCCTGATGGCAGAGCAGGAGTCTGTTGAAAGAAAGAAAGAACAGAGAGAGAGAGAGAGAGAGAAAGAGAAAGAAAAAGAAAAGAAGAAAGAAAGAGAGAAAAGAAAGAAGGAAGGAAGGGAGGGAGGGAGGAAAGGAAATCCAGTTTTAGGAAAGTCCCACCAAGTCTGTTTCACCAGAACCCCTGATTCTCAATATCCGATTGTCCTCTGTGATATCTGATGGGGTTCCTCACCTCCTCCACCCCCAGGTGATGTCTGATCACCCTGCGTGCAGCAAGAGCCCTGTGAGGTGGGTTTAGCCAGAATCCCCCTCACCCCTGATGTCGCCTCTTTTTTTTTTTTTTTTTGAGATGGACTTTCACTCTGCCGCCAGAGTGGCACAATCTCAGTTCACTACAAACTCCGCCTCCTGGGTTCAAGTGATTTTCCTCCTGAGTAGCTGGGATTACAGGCATGCGTAAAAATGCCAGGCTAGGCTGGGCGCGGTGGCTCAAGCCTGTAATCCCAGCACTTTGGGAGGCCGAGGCGGGTGGATCACGAGGTCAAGAGATCGAGACCATCCTGGTCAACATGGTGAAACCCCGTCTCTACTAAAACTACAAAAAATTAGCTGGGCATGGTGGCGCGTGCTTGTAATCCCAGCTACTCAGGAGGCTGAGGCAGGAGAATTGCCTGAGCCCAGGAGGCGGAGGTTGTGGTGAGCCGAGATCGCGCCATTGCACTCCAGCCTGGGTAACAAGAGCGAAACTCCGTCTCAAAAAAAAAAAAAAAAAAAAGCCAGGCTAATTTTTGTATTCTTAGTAGAGACAGGGTTTTGCCATGTTGGCCAGGCTGGTCTCAAACTGCTGACCTCAAGTGATCCACCCACCTCAGCCTCCCAAAGTGTTGGGATTACAGGCGGGAGCCACTGCACCCAGCCCTGATGTCTCCTCTCAATACTGTTCTAGCCACTGATCCACCCTACTCCTGTCTATAAACTTCCACTTGCCAGGGTGGTATTCAGAGTTGAGCCCAGTCTCTCTGCCCTGTGGTGGAATCCCACTGTAGTGGTCCTTCTCCTCCTCCATGGCCCTGAATGAAGTCTTCCTCGCCATACTTTAACACATGTTAATATATATCCGTATGTGGCACTGCTTGCCCTGGTCCTGCCAGCCCAGTGAGAAGCTGGTCTTCCCATGGGTTCTTGCTAAGGCTTCCCGGCTTCCTACTGATGTGGGAAGGTTTGAATCAAAACTTGGAGTGGGACAGGAGGTGGTCATTCTAAGGACTTTGGGTAAGAATATGTCTTTAAAGTGCTAAGATTGAGGATTCGCTCTCCCAACCCTATGGCAGCTGCTTGGTGGTGTTAGGAAATCAGCCTAGGTTCTTGTGGGTGACTGCTAGGGACTCAATGTCTGTATTCCCTCCACTTCCTAGGCTGAAAATCCGCATCCCCAGGGTGACGGTGTTAGAAGGTGGGGCCTTTGGGGGATGAGTAGGTCCTGAGGGTGGAGTTGCATGGTAGGCCTCATGTCCTTATAAGAAGAGACACAAGACAGCCTGCTTTTCTCTTTCTCTCTGCTGCAGGTCCCAAGGGAAAACTTTTTCATCACCCTCTGAAGGTTCACTAAAAATCAACTGACAAAAGGCAGATTAAAAGAGAAAAGGCATACAAATGTATTTGATCATAGCTTTATGTGATACAAGAGTCTTCAGAATGAATACAGAGGAAGCTGTCTAGTTTAATGCTCAGGTTCAGCAAAATCTGGACTGTTGTGGAGAAACAGAATCTGTCAGGAGCTACTCTAATCCACTGGGTGGTGACCCCAGCAGGCCCGCGTGTCTGCATTCTGTTTGGCCTCCCTGCGCTGCAGTCCTTCCTCTTGGGTATGAGACAGGACCCTCTTTGGAATGAGTCTTAGGACCTACAACCAGACAAGATAAGCCAGAGAATTTATGGTCGGCATTTGCACGGAAAGGCAGGAGTTACAGTAATATTTTTAGGATTTGTGGCTGGCTTTGGGGAAAAGGGGTTGTGGTTTTTATGACCTGCTTTGGGGAAGACGGATTTTAGTTTCTATGGCCAGCCTAGGGGAGAATGGGACTCAGGAAGGCAGGAGGTCTTCATTTTAGGATACCACTTTCTTTTTTTTAATTTCTTTTTTTTAAAAGACGGGGTTTCACCGTGTTGGTCAGGCTGGTCTTGAACTCCCGACCTCAGGTAATCTGCCCGCCTTGGCCTCCAAAGTGCTTGGATTACAGGCGTGAGCCACCACGCCCGGCCTTAGGATATCACTTTCTAGCACCTACACTGCCTCTCGTGAGGACACAGTGAGAAAGTGTCTGGGTGCAAACCAGTAAGAGTAACCTCACAAAACCCAACCCTGCTGACAACCTGATCTCGAACTTCCAGCCTCAGATAATCAGCATTCTTTGGGGGAAAATAACCATACAAAATGTATGTGTTGCATGACTGTAATGTGCAATTTGTATTAAATGCCTACAGGGTCATGCTCTGTTGCCCTGGCTGAAGTGCAGTGGTGTGATTCATAGCTCACTGCAGCCTTGAACTTCTGGGTTCAAGAAGTCCTCCTATCTCAGCATCCCAAGTAGCTGGGACAATAGGTGCATGCCACCATGCCTGGCTAATTGTGTGTGTGTGTGTGTGTGTGTGTGTGTGTCTGTGTGTGTGCATGCACGCGCAGAGACAGGGTCATGCTGTGTTGCCCACACTGGTCTCCTTTCCCCCAAAGACTTGGGTAAATTTCCGTGAAGTCTCCCCTTCTGTAGCATTTTGTTAGAGCAGCTGGCCCAGCTGAGACAGGGTCTCGGATCAAGGCCAGCATGATACAGCAGGCACAGCACTATGGAGTGCACCTGGAGCTTTCCTCACGTGAACAAAGGGTAAAAGAGGGGAGGGAAAGAGGAAAAGAATAAAGAAAGGAAGAAGAGTGGAGAGTGGGGGAGGCAGGGAGGGAGGGAGGGACAGGGAAAGAGAAAGAAAAAGAAAGGAACCATGGCCTCTAGCTTAGCCAACAGGTTTAGATGATTAAGAAAAATCGTAAACACCTTTTCCCACCCCGCACTTCTTTAATGGTTCCGGAGCACAGCGCCTAGTGCTGGAAGCCAGTCCACACGTGAGAGGAATGAATAACCCAATGCATGAAACCAGCCCATCTTTACACCTTAGATTTGTGTGCAGCTCTGGGTGATGTATCTTCTACTGTGAAGCCCGGGCCCTTTAAGTTTCACAAACGAGCATTTAATACAGGTGGGGCCAGAGGCTCAGGCCTGTAATCTCAGCACTTTTGGAGACCCAAGCAGGAGGATCCTTTGAGTCCGGGAGTTTAAGACCAGCCTGAGAAACACAGCGAGACCCCGTCTCTATTTTTTTTAAACATTTAATAAAATTGCACATCGCAATGGCAAATGCACAGGCTCTATCCAGACGCGGTAGGGCGGGATCAGCGTGGGGGACAGCAGCCTGCAGATGGAGAGAGGACAGACTTCAGGCTTCCCAAGGTCTAGAGGGAACCTTGAGGGACTTAAAGTAGGGGGCTGGGGGTGGCTGAAATGACAGGGTGTGCTGTGGAGTTCTGCAGGGAACATGGGGCCTCCCTTAATGCTCGCAGGAAAGGGGTTGGGCAGCCTTGGGCTTTCCAGGGCTTTCAGTGGACCTCCTGCGGACAAAGGCCCTCCTGCCACGGCCAGGGCGCGTTTCCCTCAGGGGCGACTCTTGGGGCGCCCGAGAGCAACCTCTCCCCCACCCCGCCCCCTGCTTAAAGGCTCTAGCTGGCACCTGAGGACTCCCCAGCCCAGCGCGCGGAGCACTGGGGGACTTGGCACCCAAGAGGGCGCGCGCTGTGACCAAGGCCAGGAGGCACACCAGCTGATTCTCCGCGTCCACGTCCGCACCGGCAGCTCCTGTGCTCATTTCCGTTGCATTTCGGGACCTAGAAAACAGCTGCAAATGCCAGCGACAGGCGGTGTGGATGCGGAAGAGAAGCAGGAGCCTGCAAGCCGATCTCGAGGCAGCGGCGAGTCCCGGGAGAGGCCGCCAGCCTGGGAACGCGCGGCGCTCCGGAGCAGCGGGCCTGCGGGCACCTGAACCGCAGCCTTCGGCGGCCCTGTCCCCCCGGCGAGGCCGCTCCTGCCTGCAGCAGCTTTTGGCGAACAGTTCTCCAGCGCCAGGGATCTCCCCGCCCCAGCTAATGATATACCATAGATTTCTCTTCTTACCTACTGCTATTAAATATCGTAAGCGGTGCGGACAGCGAAGCTGGTGGCTTCACGCAGCATTTGGAGAAGACACGGGAACTGGCGACGCACGGATCACAGGACATAAGGGAATTTTACAGGAATAATTTGGATATTATTTAGCCAGGAGAGGTGGTTTCCACCAGGGAAGGGAGAGCGGGGGTCGGGGGATGGGGGTGCGTGGGAAGGGGCGAGGAGGGGTGCAGGGGGAGTGTGGGAGGAAGTGGGCCAGTGGGCTAGCGGGAAGGGGGTGTTGGGAGGGGAGGGGCTCTCAGATGGGAGGCAAGGGGTACGCGGTGGCACGGGGCGCTGGGAGGAAAAGGGGTGGGGGAAGTGGGGGGAGGGGCACCATCCGGGGGTGAGTGGGGAGGGGAGCTGGGCTGTGGGCGGGCAATTACCCTGAGGGACACCCAAGCCGGACTCATCCAACCCGAAACCCCCGAACAGCCACATCCCTGTGCCACACGGGTGTAGGGAAATCTTGGTGACCTACAAAGACTGGGAGAAAACATTAAGGCGCAAACGTGCATAAAATACAACGAATTCCAAACTCAGAAACAAAACTGAGGGTCGCACAGAGGCAACGGAATGCAGGGTGGCAAGTTCTGGGGAGTCGAGTTATACGTGGAGGCCGGGCACCATGGTTCACGCCTGTAATCCAGTGCTCTGGGAGGCCAAGGTGGGAGGATTGCCTGAGGCCAGGGGTTTGAGACCAGCCTGGGCAACATAGCAAGATCATATCTCTACAAAAAATAAAAAAATTACCTGGGCATGGTGGCTCATACCTGTGGTTCCAGCTATTTGAGAAACTGAGGTGGGAAGACTGCTGGGGCCCAGGAGTTCAAGGCTGCAGTGAGCTGCGATTGCACTCCAGCCTGGGCCACAGAGTGAGAGTCCAACTCAAAAAAAAAGTTGTACTTGGATTTTTTTTTTTTTTTTTTTTTGGAGATGGAGTTTCACTCTTGTTGCCCAGGCTGGACTGCAGTGGCACAATCTTGGCTCACTGCAACCTCTGCCTCCCGGATTCAAGTGATTCTCCTGCCTTGGCCCCCCAAGTAGCTGGGATTACAGACATGCACCACCACGTCTGGCTAATTTTGTATTTTTAATAGAGATAGGGTTTCTCCATGTTGGTCAGGCTGGTCTTGAACTCCCGACCTTAGGTGATCCACCCACCTCGGCCTCCCAAAGTGCTGGGATTACAGGTGTGAGCCACTGCACCCAGCCCCAAGATTTTAAAACACTCTTCAAAGGCCCCAGCCTCAAGGTGAATCTTCTACAAAACTGAACTCACCTTCTCACCTCAGCTCTGCACCCGAGGGACACACACCACATGGAAGCCTGGTGGCAGCCCGGTGGCAGCGTCTCACTCTTCCCGGTTTCCAGCCAGGGGCCACACTTCTCGCCCTAGCTCAGCACCATGGTGCAGCTCACACACAGGCAGGCATTCTAGAGGAGTCCCCCTCCTGGCCTAGGAACCTCCTCCCTGGCACTTGGCCTCCCTCCATGTTTCCCAGTTCATGTTTCTGCATCGGGGCAGTGAGAAATTCCAGCACCTGCCCACATCTCTATTGTGTGAGCCCTTGCTGTGCACATGGTGGTCCCTGGGTGACCCACCCACAATCGGAAGCCTGCAGCCTAGCCAGGACTCCCTGCCATCTCCTTTTGGGCCTCCTCTCCCTTTTTAAAAATGTAATTTAAAAAAATTATTCAGGTACGGTGAGGCCCACAGATCAGGAGACAAACACTATTGAATAGATAGTTAATTACTCACAGTTCCCAAAAGGAGGAGCTTGCTATGCCTTCAATGCCATGTGGGATAGCGCCAGGGTCATGTCACCACGCCGGGCTAATTTTGTATTTTAATAATCCCAGCAACTTGAGAGGCTGAGGCAGGAGAATTGCTTGAACTCGGGAGGTGGAGGTTGCAGTGAGCTGAGATGGCACCACTGCACTCCAGCCTGGGTGACAGAGGGAGACTCTGTCTCAAAAAAGACTTTATCACAGTCTTAGAGAAAATATTCACATGCTTTTGTGGTTGCCAGTGAAATCCCCCAACATTTTACATTTATCAGTTGAAACTATCACCCTGAGAAGATGATGGCTGAGCACCAGCTCGTTTTGTGGCGAACGGTGTTCTTATTTAGTTCTTTGGTTCGAACGTGATGGGAATTCAGGAGCCCGGAGGCATCGGGGACTCGGCAGTGGTCTTCTGTCTTTGTGGCGTCTATGAGATGTCATGCTGAGAAAAAACAGACAGAAACCCACTGCCCACTCCCACCTTGTCTCTGATCAGAAAGTGGGAGCTTCAATTTTCCAAACGGTCGACGAGGCAGATGAGATGGGTCGACTCCTAACCCACCAGAGTGCTCAAATGGCACCAGCTCAGTCTCTGACCTGGAGGGTAGAGAGGAGGGAGGCTGGACATAGAAGTGCCAGGCGGCTCAGAAAACAAGACCCAAGGTGAAGGCCTCCTAAGCAGCCTCAGAAGCAAAAAGTTTTCTCTGACCTTCTCTGGCCCTCCTGTCTCTCGCCCCTCATTCTCCCGTCTGGCCATAGAAACTAGAATCGCTCTTCCCCAAGGTGGACCACAGAAACCAGAACCCAAAGCCAGCCATCAAACCTAAAAATGGGTCTCTAATTTTCCCTCTGCCTTTCTGAGTAAAACCCGGCCATGAAGAAATAATCTGATCCACTTTGTTAGACTGTAGATCCTAAGACCCTCACTCCAGGGAGGGTCCTGGAAAGAAGGAAGGGAGAGAAGGAGGGAGGGAGGGAGGGAGGAGGGAGGGGAGCTGCTCAGAGAGGCCAAGAAGAATCTAGACAGACAGGCCTGGCTGGGCATCCCCACTCAAGCTATCCTCATTAGATCCAACCCTATTTGCCCAATTCTATTTCTGCGTGCTGTCCTTACTTTGCAGAACCTAGGCATAAAAATAGACGATTTCTCCCCTTTCTTTAGGTCTTCATTTTGAAGGCTCCCATGTAGACACAGTAAATAAATGTGTCTGCCTTTTCTCCAATTGATCTGCGTTTTGCAATGTTTCATCAAAACTTGAGAGGACAAAGGGTTCCCCCTGGCACCTGCACCAGTCACCCTGTCTTTGGAAGTGGGGACGCTGGCACCACACAACGTGGATTCTGCTGGTGGTAAGGGAGAGACACTTTCAGGCAACAAACTTCGCCAGTGTCTACTTCCAAAAGTCTCTAATGTACACATGTGCAAGTTCATGGCTGCTACCATTTGCTAAGCCATGCCCCCAGTGTTGGATCTTCAAGGTGTTTTCTTTTTCTCCCCAATGAATAATGATATGACATGCATTTCTCTTTCTTCT